AAACATAACCTAAACCCGCAGCCGCATACCCTGAAGTCCTAAACTCTGAACCCCTCGCAAATAGCAGCACACACACAAACCCTAAACCCTGAACCTTAAACGTTAAACCCTCAACCCTGAACCCTGAACCCTAAACCCTAAACCCTAAACCCCAAACCCAAACCCAACAAAAAGCCCTTCAAGCCCTAACATATCCCCTGAGGACCGAAAGCCCTTCCGAGACTCTTAGACACTAAGTCTCCCAAGCCCTAGGCTCTAGGCTAGGTCCTTAGACCCTAAAACTTTCAGCCCTAAACCCTATAGACCCCATAAACCCGATAAACCCTAAGGCCTATAGACCTGATTAACCCAAATACCCAGAAGTCCTATCAACCCTAAACCCTAAACCCTAAACCCCGAACCCCAATTAACCCTAAACCCTAAACCCTAAACCCCCCCAAAAGCCCGATGCCTGCCAACTGCTGGCTTGAGAGCAGCCGCGGATCGTCAACGCGGCCTTTGCCGGAACCCTACGGGGGGAGGCCTGGGGAAGGTAGATGGAGTTTAACAAATAGGGTTCAGGGTTTAGGGTTTAGGGATTAGGGCCGTTTAGGGTTTAGGGTTTAGGGTTTAGGGTTTAGGGTTTAGGGTGAAGAAACACATTTTTGAGGATCTATGGCTTCGTCTTCATGTCATCGAGGAGCTGCTTTGAGGAGAATGGAGCAGCCACTGCCCTCTGGAGATTTCAGAGTCGGCCCAGAGGGGGTGAGCCAAGACACCCTGTAAACCATAAACTCCCTCAGCCCTAAACCCTCAGGCCGAAGTCCTAAACCCAAAGCCCTAAATCCTAACACCTAAACTCCCTAAATCCGGGATCCTAAGCCCTAAGCCCTAAACCCTATTTCCTAAACCCTGAATCCTAAACCCGAAATCCTAAGCCCTCAGCCATGAGCACCAAAGCCACCACTCAGCCCTGCGCACTCGCTGCGTCGGGAGCCGGCGAACAGGATCCTGCGTGCACCATAAACACACTGGGCGGGCTCGCCTATATGAGTTTCGGGTACCGACCTGTTTTTTGTGTTTGTCTTTTTGCTTTATGCCTACAGATTCACACATAGTGCATATATATATATACATATTTATAGATGAGATACACTGATGCGCATATGAAAGATTTACCAAACAACGTAGACATGAAAAAACAAGAAAGCCCATAACTGTGCACATCATATAGATGTAGATGAAGAGGTATATACATAGATCAATACACATGATGATAGACTTAGAAACAGAAATGGGATGCCGAACTAAACATGAATTATTTGCACGAACTATGCCAGCGTAGCACCTATGCGATAGCTCCATTTTCGTTCACAAGTCCAGCAGGCGCAAAAATAATACATGGCCCGTTTATTCTTAACGTTAAAACCTTTTAGTGTTGACACACTGTTTGGGAAACAAAAAGAAGTGAAACGCCCCCAAGCAACATTCAACTGTGACCAAACGTGCCCTAACCGAAGCGTTGATCCTGCGGCCACATTGTAGGGCACCCTAAACCCTAAAACCTAAATCCTAAACCCCAACCCCCTATCCCTTTCGCAATGGCACCTTCGCAGATCATCTGGCCCCAGATAGCGAGAGCCATCTGCCATGCCTCAGGCAGTACTTCAAGGTTGTAAGCATATTTACCTCAATTTTATCCCCACTTACTAGGTCCCCTGACCCTTTAAGTAGACAGCAATGTTGTAAGTCTTTGACCTGGCGGCCCAGTCTCCCTAATCCTTGAATAAGGGCACCCCGTTCTTTTGGGTTGGTTACTTTATGAGGGAACCCAGAACCACAAAAAAAAGTAAAGGGCACCACTGGCCTACAAAGGCAGGGCGGCGTGGAACCGTTTGAGGGGTGCGGCGTTCATCATCTTGACGGAGTTTGGGGAGAGGGGAGTCGATTCCTATGGCACCTCCTGCGAACTAAGGCGCAACAAGCACACAGCAGCCCGAATCGCCCTAAACCCTAAACCCTAAACCCTCAACTTAAACCCCAAACCCCAACCTCACAAACCCTAAACCGCTAATGCCGAAACTCCAAAAGTCTCTCTCTCTCTCTCTTACCGGCCTCAGCCCTGCCACAGGCCGAGAGGACGGAGTTGTAGACCTTTGCCGGCTCAATAGATACTTGAAGAGTTTAGGGTTTCGGGTTGAGGGTTTAGGGTTTAGGGTCTCGGGTTGAGGGTTTAGGATGTACGGTTTAAGGTTGAGGTTTAGGCTGTAGTTGGGTAGTTGGGATCATAAAAGTGGTCACTGTAGAAAAAGCCACCCCCCCAAACAAGGTTCATAGACCCCGAGTTTCCAATACCTCGAACCCCGAACCCGACGCCCTAAACCCACGAACCTCCAAGTAGCTAGGGTTGCTGCAAGGCAGGTTCCCTTTGAGGTCCACTACATTTCGCGCTAAGAGTAAGCCTTAGTCCAGGCCCACCTTTCATAAAGGTTTCGGGTCTGGCGCTTAGGTTCCAAAGCCCTAAACCCAAACCCCAAACCCCCAAACCCCAAACCCTAAACCGAACCCTAAACCCTACACCCCAAACTCTGAACCCTAAGCCCCAAACCCTAAACCCTAAACACCCAAAACCCTACACCCCTACACCCCAAAGCGTTTTCATCAATTGTCTCGCCTGTCTTCCACCAAGGGGCCGATGGAGGTGTATCCGGGCCCTCCTGGGATGCCAGTGAGGGTTTAGGGTTTGGGGATTTTAGGGTTTAGGGTGTTTAGGGCTTTTAGGGTTTAGGGTCTAGGGTTTTTAGGGTTTTTAGGGTTTTTAGGGTTTTTAGGGTTTTTAGGGTTTTTAGGATTTTTAGTGTTTTTAGGGTTTTAGGGTTTTTAGGGTTTTTAGGGTTTTTAGGGTTTTTAGGGTTTTTAGGGTTTAGGGTTTGGGGTATATAGGGTTTAGTTTAGGGTTTAGGGCTTCTAGGGTTTAGCTTTTTTTTGGGTTAGGGTTCTTAAGGTTTAGAGGTTTGGGGTTTAAGGGTTTTGGGGGCTTTGGGTTCTTGGGGTTTAAGATTTAGCGTTCAGGGTTTCCGGGGTTTCGGGCTTTTAGGGTTAGGATCCAGTGCAATTTTATGGTTTAGGGATAGCGTGCAGGTCTAGGATGCTTGTAAGGTTTTATCGCGTGCTAGTATTTCACAAAGTTGTTGCGGGGTTTAGATGGGTTGAAGGGTTTAGGGCGTATAGCGTTTGGGGGTTCTAGGGTGCAGGGTTTAGGGGTAAAAGGTTGGGGCTTGATAGGGAAACCCTAAACCCTAAACCCTAAACCCTAAACCCTAAACCCTAAACCCTAAACCCAATGTAATTGCAGGGTTGAAGGACGTGAGGTTAGCGTCTTGCTCATCCCCACCTCCTAGATACGCGGCACTCAGCCTGCATAAGCGCTCTCGTGGCACTCGCAGCCTAAACCCTACTAAAACCTGAACCTTAAAAAAAACCTACAAGTCCTATAAATCCTATTAACCCTATAAACCCCAAGCCCTAAACCCTAGCAAACTCGCTGTCCTCCGGACGGATGGAGAAGATGGCCAGAGCCCATTCCTTGCTGTCTACGGCTCAACACAAACCATGCTGGGTATAGGTTATATGGGTTGGTGGTCTTTTTAAGTAAGGGTTTCTGTTTGCTAGGGGCATATATTCGGGGTTCCTAGTAGGGTATCTAGGGTTCAGTTATAAGGATGACAGGTAAAGAGGCCACCGGCCTTTATAAGGTGCAGGGTTTAGAGCGCACTGCCTTGCATTGTCTGAGCTTGGGGGTGGAGGTTTGGGGCGCATTCAGGTGTGGATTAAGGTCTGTCTAGTTTCGGCGCTTCCGTCCGGAGCCATTCTTCAACATTGGTGCCAGCTGCCCAGAGACTCCAATATCCCATAATTAAGGATTATACCTTAAATCATATTAGGGATCCTACTATATTTTTAGGTATATTCCTTCATTAATTAAGGGATATTGGAGTCTCTGGGTGGTTTAAGGATGAAGGTCTGAGATGTAGGATGTCTGAGGGTTCAGGGCTTCGGGGTTTAGGTTTTAGAGTTCGAGGTTTGGGATTTAGGGACGGCTTCGAAGTTTTGGCATCGAGGGTGTAGGCCAGTGACAGCAAAGGAGGTGAACAAAACATACTACAAAGTCATGTGAAGATCTGACAAATATTTGCGTAAGTAGGGGGCGCCTAAACGGCCCTAAGCCAACATGCCCAAACCAAAGCCCTCAAACCCAAACCTCTTGAAACACAGGGCATCCCTAAACCCTAAACCCTAAACCCTTGACCCTTGACCCTTGACCCTAATCCCTAAACCCTAAACCCCAAATCCTAGTAAACCCTAAACCCTAGTAAACCCTAAACCCTAAACCCTAAACCCTGTTTGCCCTTTCTCAGTCTTGTCCGACCTGCACCAAGGGGTCACGGACTAACCGACATGCCTCTCCGACTTGGCCGGGTCTGGCATCTCCTGCTTGGAAGCCCTTTTGAATTGAAATAGTAAGTAGGATTCGTGGTTTAGGGTTTAGGGTTGAGGGTCTAGGGTTTAGGGTTACTTGGAAGCCCTTTTGACTGCGTACGTAGGGGTTAGTAAGGTGGCCTTTGGGGATAGTCATAGGGTTTCTAGGGGATACTAAGTTCGACTTCCCAAGTCAAAAGAGCTTCTAAGCGGGTAAATTGTTACATGAAGCAGCTCCCGGCTTCGTTCACGAAGTTGAAGCTACATTCCTTCAGCTTTGCTGAAGGAAGGTTGGCAGATCTGTGCCGATTGTCGTTATCTGATGTGATAGGTTTAGGGTTTAGGGTTTAGGGTTTAGGGTTTAGGGTTTAGGGTTTAGGGTTTAGGGTTTAGGGTTTAGGGTTTAGGGTTTAGGGTTTAGGGCTTAGAATCATTGTCCCCCCCGACCCTTAAACCTCCCCAAGACCTAAACCTCGCCTCTGCTTCAGGGAAAGATGTGCTGCAGTGCTGCCTATGTGACACAGCCACACAGCCAAAGCTGTTCAATCCAAGTCTGGGAAGAGGTCGAACGAGATCACCAGGGCTGCTTTGTTCAAGCCTGCCGCAGAAGAAGGGTATACGTGCAGGGGTTCGGGCGTGTGGGGGGTTGATTAGGGGGTTCACCCCAAACCCCAAACCCTAAACCCTAAACCCTAAACCCTAAACCCAAAGGGAACACCAAGCTCTAAACCCCAAACCCCAAACCCTGCATCGTCTCAGAAGAGGGTTTCATGTACTGGGTCCTTGTTTTGGGCAACTTAAACCACGTCACCATGGGCACATAGAAAAAATGATGCTTCTACTGTTTGGTAGCTACATGTTCTATAAACAGCTTAATTGCGAACCCTGTTCAGTTCTCTCCAGGTCATGGCGCCCGAACCCTGCATACCATACCTAGAGCAAGCTGTAGACCTTTGAGAAAGAGAAGTGTACCTTGCTGTAAGGGTATGCTTACCTTGTTGTATTGCGCATGGTTTGTAGGCCGAAGGACCCTGGACCCGACACCTTGATTTTGGCGTTTGGGCTTTCGGTCTTCCAAGCACTCACTCAGTATGAATGACATCGACACAATGAGGTTTGCTCTTTTTCCCACTCAGCCACTGATCGAACCCTCAACCCTAGCCCAAAATCCTAAACAAGCCCTGCAGTACACCGTTACACAACGGCTCCCAGTCCCGGGAGTGCGATCCATAACATACACCCTAGAACCCAAACCCTAAACTCCAACACAACATCAGACCTCAACCGAAGCCTCTCCAATTAGCCCAGCCTGTTTTGCCAGGCTTGCCCACGGCCGCCACCTGCGATAGGTCCACGCCCAAGACCTCATCCAAGGCAGGTTAAGGGTATATTATGGTTCGAGGGCTTGCTGGGTTGTTTGGGTGTTAAAACCCTAAAGACTTAAACACCTAAGCCCACACAATGAACCCCCCAAACCCTAAACCCGAAACCCCCAACCCCAAAACCCTAAATCGCTCAAATCCTTCACCCTAAAGCCGAAACCCCCAAACCCTTAACCCTAAACCCCAAACCCTAAACCCGGAACCTTAAACCGGGGGGCTGGGTCGAATGCATACAGGCTTTGCAAAATCTGCAAAACCCTCTCAGAGCCGTCAAATCACCCCAAAACCATCTAAGCATAAGTCCCCTTCACCCTAAACCCTACACCCTACACCCTACACCCTAAACCCTAAACCCTAAACCCTAAACCCCAGACCCAAGCATCTGAGGATAGCACCCCCATAGTTGCCGCAACGAGGGCAGCCTCAGGCAGGTGGTACAGGCGGCGCTCGCGGGGGTTTAGGGGTTTAGGGTTTAGGGTTAGGGCTTCGGGTTTAGGGTTTAGGGGTAGCACACACCCTATATGCCCTATACCTCTTTGCAACCGTACATCCTAAACCCTGAGCCCTAAATCCTAAACCCTAAACCAAAACCCTGGACCCCAAACCCCAAATCCTAAATCCTAAACCCTAAACCCCAAACCCCAAACCCTAGACCCTATACCCTCAAATCAACCAGATAGTGCCCTAAACCCCCAAGCCCTTGGGATAGCCGAGGGTTCAACAGCTGAGCCTGAAACTTGAACACACCCTGTAGGGTTTAGGGTTTAGGGTTTAGGGTTGCGGGTTTAGAGTTTAGGGTTTAGGGTTTAGGGTTTAGGGTTTAGGGTTTAGGGTTGCGGGTTTAGAGCGCTAGGATTGAGGGGTTCGGAGCTTGAGGGCTGCTTTGGGGTGCAGCCTCGTGACAGAACCCGTGGGAAGATGGGACCATTGGGGGGCCATACCGCAAGCCCTACACCCCAAACCTGAAAGCCTGTTAATGGGCCTATTGCCTACATTACGACTCTGAAAACCATAAGGCTGAAGGGTTTAGGATTTTGCAAGGGGGGTGGGGGGGGGGGAAGGCTTAGGGCTTAGGGTTCTGTACTTGGGACAATAGAGGGGCGAACTGACAGCTGTCTCTACACAAATCCGTGCCAGGGCTAGAGAGCCAGGGGATAGGATTAGGCGGGACCCTTGGGGATATGGACCCTCAGTCTGAGGTCCCTGTTTAAGAGAGCCAGCAAAGGTTTAAGAAGGGGTTCCCTTTTAAGGGTCACCCTTTTCCTACCTAGAAAAAACCTTCGATGCGATCCAAGATGCCCGGCCGTTCGCCACGCTTTGCCAGAACTCGTCGGGCCCCACACCGATGTCTTTTGTATGCCCCTCGATGACGATGCTGACCTTGAACATCTGCCAGAGCTCACAGAGATCTGTCAAGATGTCCTTAGGATAGATTTCGACAGGAAGCTGCTTCAAGTTCACCCAGCAACATGTACCCCTAACTCCAAAGAATCTCAAAACACCCCTAAGAGCCCCTGAACCCGATGAATCCTAAACCTACTCCCCTCGGGTATGTTGAATTGCGAATCCGCAATCATGCGTTTGCAGACGCGCATGGCCTGGATGGTGCCAAAAGGTGGGGTTTGTGGTTCAGGGGTGCCGCAGGGTGTAGGAGTGCTTAGGGCTTTAGAGGGTTTTGGGTGTTGGCTGGAGGGTTCAGGTATGTATCTACTGTAAGGCAGCTCAGCAGCCCTCCCCCTAAATCCTCAATCACCCTGCCGTTGCTGATCCGGTCCCAAACTGTTACCCAGGTCAAGGCGTGCAACAAATTACGGTCATGCGGCAGGCTGTTTCAATTCGGGTACATAGGCTTGAACGGTAGGTTCCCTCAATCAGAGGTGGTTTAGGGTTTATAGGGTTGGGTTTAAAGGGTTTAGAGGGTTCATATAGGGCTTATAGGGTTTATACACGGTTTATGGGGTGTATAGGGTTTGCAGGGTTCACAGGGTGTGGGGCTTAGGGCCTTAGAAGACCAAGTTGCCATGGCTTCTTTCTCGTTCTCGAACTCCGCAGTGGGTGGATCATTCAGATTCTTCCGCTTGAAGTTGATTGGCCGCATGAGCGCGACATCTCCTGTTGCGCATCCCTAAACCCTAAAGGCTAGACCCTAAGCCGCCTAAAGGTTAGGGTTCAGGGTTGATAGGGTTTAGGGGCCCGAGATATTCCCGAATGCCCAAAACCTGAACCCTAGGGAACCCTAAGCCCTAGACCCTGGACGCTAAAACAAGACCTTTTTTAATCCTATCGCATCGGGACACTCCTTTTTAAAGGAGCATTCGCGCGTTTAAGGATCGTTTAGTCTTAAAGGGTCCCACCAAAAGTTTGAGGCAGACTGCACAACCACAGAAGTGTTCTGTGTTTCTCAGTGCACGGAACCATCCTCCGCGGCACCAACATTTGTACTGTTCGGGGTTTTGTAGTGCCTTACCCAGGCCCCGGGTTCGTGGATAGCCCCGATGAGCATGCGGAGTAGAAGCCATCATAAAGCCCTAAGCCGTAAACCCACCATTTCAGATGGTCGAGTGTCGGCAACCTTGGAGGCTAAGACATAAGCCCTGAAGCCTAATCCTACAAACCCAACCAGGATCCTGTTCTTTTCTACGTATACAGATGTATCAACCCAAACTCCACGAGCTTCGTGCATAACAACACGGGAGAGCTGAAAGGAAGAATTGGCCTGATTTGGCTCGGGGTTTAGGGGGTTTAGGATTTTCTCTAAACCCTTTAAAACCAGAAACCTGAAACCCGAAACCCTAAACAGGGGTTTAGGGGTTTAAGGGGTTTAGGATTCGGTGAATTGGAGTTTTGCTGGGTTGAGGAGCTCATGGGATTGGCATTTTAGAGTTTATGTGCGGGGCTTTCGGGGTTTAGGGTGCATTCAGGGGATTGGGTGTTTCAGAGATTGGTAACGTTTAGCAAGGCTTGGTGTAGGCGTGGTGCGGGCTTGAGTTCAGGGTGCAGGAGTGTGGGGTGTGCACCCTAAACCCTAAACCCTAAACCCTAAACCCTAAACCCTAAACCCTAAACCCTAAACCCTAAACCCTAAACCCTAAACCCTAAACCTGGGGAGGGTTGTTTTGAAAAAGATGCGGATGGGGTGCCATTGTTGAGGTTGATGTCCAGGTTGCCCCTTCGCTGAATCTCGCTGACCTTGGGTTCGGGGTTTAGGGTAAAGTTTAGGGTTCAGGGTTTAAAGTTCAGGGTTTAGGGTTTAGGGTTTGAGGAGTTGAGGGGGGGGTGGGGGGTCTGTGCCATGGTGCTATAAGGCTATCATGGTAGGGGGCAACGACCTGCATCCAACAAGGGTACCCAACCCCCCCCATTTTCGGAAACCCCGAAAAGGCCGAAGTGACGAGGGGGAGTCACGAGTCGATTCGCAGCAAAATGCAGAAAGCTGCTGTGGGATTAGGGTTTAGGGTTTAGGGTTTGGGGTTTAGGGTTTAGGGTTTAGGATTTCGGGTTTCGGGTTTAGGGTCTGATCTCACTCGAGCCAAGAACTTGTGGCGTTCAGCAGGCGCACTCCGCTGCGTGACCACTTTGCAAACATCCGCGCCCATATCGGCACTTGAACTCTATGATGTCTAACCCCTGGCTAACGAACTCAGATCTCAAGCCCTGAAGAAACCCGAACCCTAAACCCTAAACCCTGAAACCCTAAACCCTACAACCCTAAACTCTAAAACCCTACAACCCTAAAACCCTAAAACCCTAAACCCTACAACCCTAAACCCTGACAAACTTAAATCAGTTGGGGCGCGCGGTGCAGCTGCTGCAGCAGTGTCGGCTGCTCCGGCGTTTCCATACCTGCTGTTTGCTTAAGAACCCCCACAGACATAGGGTTTGGGGTCTAGGGTTCAGGGTTCAGGGTTTCGGGTCCAGGGTTTAGGGTTCGGGGGTTCTTAAGCAAATAGAGGATACCTGCTGGAGAGACGAGTCTTCAGTTCACAGGTCGCTGGTCTGGCTGAAGCTTCAGGCTTTAGGCTTTAGGCTTCAGGCTTCAGGCTTCAGGCTTCAGGCTGTAGGCTTTAGGCTTTAGGCTTTAGGCAGGCTTTAGGCTTTAGGCTTAGGCTTTAGGCTTTAGGCTTTAGGCAGGCTTTAGGCTTTAGGCTGTAGGCTGTAGGCTGTAGGCTTTAGGCTTTAGGATTTAGGCTTTAGGCTTTATAAAGGGTTCAGGGTTCAGGGTTGGGACCGCACATATTCAAACTCCACTACATCTGGAAGCCTGGGGGTCTGGGGGTTATCCTAGTAGGGCTGTGCGTGAATGCATACTCAGTAGCTCAGTAGGTTCGAGGCAGGCAAAGCCAGAGGACTTAGCCAGAATCTCACAGCCAGTTTGACATCCTGATTCTAAAGCCCTAAACCCTAAACCCTAACCCTAAACCCTAAACCCTAAACCCTAAACCCTAAACCCCAAACCCCTACCTCAGCCATAGGCCCCGAGCCTGAGCTCCCGAATCCGGGGTTCAGGTGATTAGGGTTTCGGGCCACGGCTGTGGGATGAACGGACTTGGGCAAGCACAAGAAGGGGTGCTCTTACCCTAAACCCTAAACCCTAAACCCCAAACCCCAAACCCCAAACCCTAAACCCTAAACCCTAAACCTTAAGATTGTTTATAAGGGCACCTGACCAGGGGGCTGGTCAACCACAGGAAGCTGCGGCTGGAGGCGGTTGGGTTAGGGTTTAGGGTTTAGGGTTTAGGGTTTAGGGTTTAGGGTTTAAGGTTTAGGGTTTAGGGTTTAGGGCTTCGGGTTTCGGGTTTATCTCGTGTGCTGTGGAGGCCAGGGTGCGAGTCAGAATCTTCCCAACCATCTCTTCAACATCCTCGTCCATGCAAGTGGGTCTTGGGATTGAGGCCCTAAGCCCTAAACCCTAAACCCTAAATCCTAAACCCTAAACCAAACAAACACCCGAGATTAGGCCAAGAGATCCTTAAGTCCTTCGCCCTAAGCCCCAGCGGGCGTGCTCAGCATCCCCCGCCACTCTAAGCCCTGCCTCCTGACAACCCGAAACCTGACGCCTAAACCCTGTATAAACCCCAACCCTAAACTCTAAACTAAACCCCCTAAACCCTAAACCCTAAACCCTTAGGAAACCCTTAGGAACCTACTATAAACAGATTGGGGGTTCGTATACAGCCTGCAGCCCTTGCAGCAGCCCTCAGTGCTAACGAAGGCTGAGGTTGCTGATGCTTGGGCCAACCCTAAACCCTAAACCCTAGACCCCAAACCCTAAACCCTAAACCCTGAACCCTAAACCCTAAACCCTAGGGTTTAGGGTCTCAATCTGAATCTGCAAGCGCCGACCATCCCATGGGGCCCTCACATCGAACTTCCGGTGCAGGTCATCAATCTCCTGAAGCACCGAGCATCGTGGGGTTTAGGGTTTAGGGTTTAGGGTTTAGGGTTTAGGGTTTAGGGTTTAGGGTTTAGGGTTTAGGGTTTAGGGTTCTCTCCCCCCCCCCCCAAGCAAAAACGGCGAGCTGAAGGTAGCCTCGAGGGTCGTCTCACATAAGATAGGGGTCGGAATAGTTTGCCAGCAGTATTCGCTTATGGTCTGCTTGTATTAATACCATGAATAATCTAGAGTCTATAGAGTAGTAAGTAAAAGAGCCCCCAAAACAACTTTAAAAATTCTTAAGGCCCCTATCTTATTCTGCGGCTTGCAGGATTGAAAGAACTTAGTTACGTGGGCAAAGCCCTCGCGCCCAGAAAAACCCGAAAGCCGCCAAGCCCCCAACTCCCTAAGCAAACAAGCCCTAAATACCTGACTCTCTACCCTACCCTAAACCCTAAACCCTAAACCCTAAACCCTAAACCCTAAACCCTAAAACCCTCACACCAGGCCTGCTGGAGATTTTCGTGCATCTCATCTTGGAGTCGCGAAAGCTCCGACTCCATCTCTGTTTTGTACCTGAAAAGTATGTACAGTGTAGGGTTTAGGGTTTAGGGTTTAGGGTTTCAGGTTCATTTAGGGCTGGGTTGGGGTTTAGCATGTAGGGTCTTTGGGGTTTCGGATTTATGCCGGGGGGGGGGGGGGGGGGGGGGAGTGTTTAGGGCTTCAGGCTTCAGGCCTCTCCGAAAACCAAGTTAAAAAGGGGTCAAACTTTATTATTCCTACTAAATAAGGAAAACCAAAAAAGCTTAGAAGTTCAACTATCGGCTCAGTAAGAGACTACAAATCCAGGCCCGGAGGCTTCTCGCTCTCGCTGAGCTGACGCTCCAGCTTGGCTCGCTCCGCTGCGCTGTGCTCCTGGCTTGACGGTTTAGGGTTTAGGGTTTAGCCTCACCGCGGTTTAGGGCTTAGGGCAAAGTTTAGGGTGTCACGGCCAGCCCCAAACAAGATAGAATATGAGGGGATGCTTGAGAGCTTCTCTCTCGAACTCCCCAACCTGCCCCAAAGCTCCCCACTGCCAATCGTATTCCCTTATCGCCCCTTTCTAAATACACTATAATAAGCCCCCCTGAACCTATAGTAGCCCTAAACCCTAAACCCTAAACCCTAAACCCTAAACCCTAAACCCTACTACAGGCCCCTACAGTACACAGCCATGTCTCCTGTCGCAGCATCTCCTGCAGACTCTGCACACGCGCAATCGCGCCCTTTGCTTCCTCTCGGGCCCGGTCCTGTCTGGAAGGTTTAGGGTTTAGGGTTTAGGGTTTAGGGTTTAGGGTTTAGGGTTTAGGGTTTAGGGTTTAGGGCATTGTCGGACGTGTGGAATGAAAAGTCTGGCGGGGAGTCTCGGTAAGCACATGAAGCACACTCACTTTAGGCTGACCCGAAAATCGCGCTTCAGCCTTACCATGGTGCTGGTGTGTCAGCCGACAATCATGCAGACAAGCGCGCCGAGACATCCTAAATTCTCAAGGCCTCCACCCTACACAAGCCCTAAACCTTCAGCACCATGTACCCTAAACCCTGAACCCCAACACCCTAAACCCTAAACTCATAACCCCAAATCCCAAACCCTAAATCCCAAAATCCTCAACCTCTCGAGGCTGCACAACTTCGTCGGCCGGGTCGTCGGGCCTGCTCGTCCCTGATTAGCTGCTGGTTCGACATGATCCGTCCCTTGTTCTCCTCGATACTTCCTCGGTTTGGAGTAAGCTTTGGTTTAGGGGTTCAGGGTTTAGGGGTTTAAGGTTTCAGAGGGTCTAGGGTTTTGGGGGTTGGGGGGTTTTGCAGTTTTGGGGTTCTGAGGTTTTAGGGTTAGCTTTTTAAGAGGTTACCCAGCAGCCTAAGAATATATCGGGAACGTAGAACCAGTGGTTGTTCGGATTCGGAATCAACTAGCTGGTTGCTTGGAGGCCCGTGGACAAGGATCTTACCTGTACAAGCGCCTGGCCTTAGGCTGCACAAGTGCGATCCTTGTTTAGCTCATGGTCACTTTCTTCCGCTGCCATGGTAATGCGGAACCACCCAGAAGAAGACCATAACCTAAAGAACGAGGCCTGCCCACATCCACAATGGAGTCCCTTTGGCGGCTCTTGCTATGAGATGGGGTGCTGCAAGCCATAACCCCCCCCTCCCCTGCAAAGTCACTTAATGGAGTGCGACGAGCATCGCATGTTGGCTCCAATCTGCTTGGAATGGTTATCGATGATGTTCCTCGCAGCAAAGGAACTTTTTTGGCGCGTTGGGGGCAGGTGGGGCCCATGGTCTCCTGTCGAACTGTATCTCCGCCTGGATGTCCTCGAATCTGCCTCTGCTTCGGGCTTAGGGTTGAGGGTTCGGACTTAGGGTTGAGGGCTTCTAGGGCTTCTAGGGCTTCTAGGGCTTAGGGTTGAGGGTTGAGGGTTTAGGGCGCCGTCATCCAGAAGATGCAGTTCTGCAGGCACAAGGTTGAAAAGAACCCCCAAAAAGCAGTATAGAGGTCCTCTAGGCACTCAACCCTGACTCCTAAGGCCCTTGAAGACCTAACTTGAAATAACTGTGGCTCCCGACTCCCGACCCCTCAGTCGGGCAATTTGCCCCAAACCCTAAACCGTAAACCGTAAACCCTAAACCCTAAACCCTAAAACCTAAGCCCTAAACCCTAAACCCTAAACCCTCTCCTGAAAGCCCGTGCGAGGATGCAACTCACGGAAGAAAAAAGTTGGGACGCTGGGCCTGTCGCAGGGCCCTGGCGGACTAGTTTCGGGGTCCCAGAGAAACCTAGTATGCTTCTTCGTGTAATAGGGCCCCTAAACCCCAAACTCCAAACCCTAAACCCTAAACCCTAAACCCCAAACCCTAAACCCTAAACCCTAAACCCTAACAACTAGCCTAGGTGTGTATAGAGTTGGTGGCTCCGTGGTCACGCCCAGCTGCGATGCACCGCCTCCTGCGTGTCTGCACCCAGCTGCAGCAGCTCGTCCAGCTTGCTGCCTTTGGGGTTTAGGGTTTAGGGTTTAGGGTCTAGGGTCTAGGGTTTAGGGTTTCGGGTTTAGGGTTTAAGAGTTTAGGGTTTAGGGTTCAGGGTGTACTGCCTAGACCCCGCGGGGTTTAGGGGTTTAGGTTGGGATGTTCCCCTCTTTTCTAACAGTCCTGAAGAGAAACTACAATAGGAGGCACAAAAATCCTACCACGGACTGTTTTCAGGGGGAACATCCCAAGGTTTAGGGCTTGTAGGGTTTGGGATTCAGGTTTTGTAGGGTTTAGGGTTTAGGGTTTAGGGTTCAGGGTTTAGGGTTTAGGGTTTAGGGTTTAGGGTTTAGGGTTCGGGAACATCCCAAGAACTGCCCAGCAGACACGGAACCTCAACCCCTAAACCACCCTGGGGCTCCTTGTCTCACAAGGCTGCCATATTCTTTTCGGAACCCCAAAAAAAGGTTTAGGGTTTAGGGTTTAGGGTTTAGGGTTCAGGGTTGGATCAGAGACCCTGTAACCCCGCACCCCCGAAACAGCACATGAATTGCCAAACTAAGAGGGTTCAAGGTCTAGGGCAACTACAGAGTCTGATGGCGTTCAACTCACCCTACACCTCCGAGTATCCCAAAGAGCGCTTGGCTTGTATACTTGAAGTCCTAGCAAAACTCTACAAGCTCCAATGGGGTGTCCAAGTTGCTGCTGAGGCCGATTTGATGGTCTGCGAAGTCCTTCCTGCTGGGCTCACGCAAGCATTCGTAAGAATCTGAACCCCAAGCCCTCAACTCTCGAAGCCCTGCGCCTCCCAACTCCCATATAACTTGGGATGTCCCCCGTGTACTAACAGTCCTTAATTGGGATTATAATAGGGGGTACTACAATCCCTATGAGGGACTGTTAGTATAAGGGGGAACATCCCTCTATATATACACATAAGGGAATCCTACTATGTGGGGATCTATATTGGGGGCTCCCCCGCTTTCGTAAACCCCCACATCAGAAGTAGTACGCCAAACCCTAACCCTAAACCCTAAATCCCCAACCAGTAGTTGACCAGGTGTCCTGTTCTGCAAAGTCAGGTTGACCATGGTGGTGGAGTTCTCGTGGAGGCGAGTCAGCTGCTCCCTGTTCGTAGCTCAGTGTTGATCTCAAACCAACCAGTTACCAGAACAAAAGGGTTTAGGGTTCAGGGTTAACTCTGCATAAATCATGCCGGAATGCCCCGTCTTACCACTTAGAGACCTACCAATTTTAAACAAATTGTTTTACTTCGAACCTCCCCACCCTCTCTTGGTAGAGATACTCTGGGGTTGGGCACTCCAGCAACGGTTGGGCACTTTAGGGAGACTCTGGGGTTGGGCACTCCAGGGAGACTCTGGGTGGGCACGGTGGGAGACTCTGGGCTCCGGCGACAGTCTGGGGTTGCGCACCCTAGGGAGACTCTGGGGTTGGGCCTCTGGGGTTGTGTTGGGTTGGGCACTCCAGGGGGTTGGGCACTCCAGGGACACTTTGAGTAGACCCGGCGAGGAGAAGAGTTCCGGAGAAGAGTTCCGGGCGAGGAGAAGAGTTGAGTTTGAAATCTAACAACCCCACACCGAGGGTGGTGAACAAAGCAGTTCCAGGGGTTGAGGCAATTCAGTTGTGGAGGTGTTTGGGTTAGGGAAAAAGGCTTAGGATTTAAGGATCTCCTGTGGGAACTATGAGGTGGGCCCGACAGATAGCCTATCTCCAAACCCCTAAACCAAAAACTCGGGCCCTTGTCTTCAGCTGTGTAGAGCCCCACCACTTCCCCCAAGCCTGGCCCCAAGGTTCGCGGGCAGCGCTGAGTTTTTTCAGGGGGCTTTGATTCAAAAGATTTCTATAGGGGCCATGCGTACCGTTAGCTGGGACTTCGCCTGCTATGAGTGGCCCAGGACCTGGACGTTAAACCTTACACCTTGAACCCTAAACCCTAAACCCTAAACCTGAACCCTAAACCCTAAAACCGTGAACCCTGCCGTTCTTCTGGCGAAGGCCAAACGCTGCCTCAGCGTAGCAACCTCGGCGGACACGATGTCGCGCACATCCTTGTCAGCAATGCGGTTTTTTTCGCTGCAGCATCTGTAGCCCTAAACCCTAAACCCTAAACCCTAAACCCTAAATCTCTACCTTTAGGATCAAAATAGCCCCAAAAACCTTAGATAAATGAGGCCCTTGGGCCTAGAAGCCTAAACCTCCACGAGTCGGCTCCACCCTCAACCCTAAACCCTCAACCCTAAACCCTCAACCCTCAACCCTCAACCCTCAACCCTAAACCCTAAACCCTAACCGTAAACCCTAAACCCGCACTGGAGCTGGCGTTTGGGCGAGCGTGGGCCCCCAGTGCAAATTTTGTCTAAATCCAGGGTGCACCGAGATCCCCAGGAATAGCCCTTCTTGAGCTTAGGGTTTAGGGTTTAGGGTTTAGGGTTTAGGGTTTAGGGTTTAGGGTTTAGGGTTTAGGGTTTAGGGAAATCTGGTATATCCTTGAATCAGGTCTTGCCGGAGTTTGCTCTAGGCAGGATTTAGGGTCAGCCCTTCAGTGCACGGCCCCCACGCCTGCTGTAAGCTGCTTCGCACCTTTCCCACCGCCACGTCCATAAGACTGGACATTTCGGAGACTGGCGACACCTGAGGGTTTAGGACATAGAACTTGGAATTCTTCGGACCTAAACCCCAAACCCTAAACCTGTTTGGGCAATTCTTCGGAGCAGGGTTTGTAGCAAGCTCATCAGAACCCAGCGCAGTTCAAGGGTCAAGGTTCATACACAGAAAACTGCAGGATTTTGAGCGATAGAGTTGCTTCACATTACAGGGAACCGGATCTAATCCAAAGGACAAAGGAATACAGAACGGACCCTAAACCCTAAACCCTAAACCCTAAACCCTAAACCCTAAACCCTATACCTTAAACCCCAAACCGTAAAACCGGAGCCCTAGCAGGTGACGACATGTGTACACCAAAGACTGGCCAGGCGGCCGCCATCGCAAGCTCCTTCAAGTCCTCCAAGACGGATGAGGCCCCTATGTTTACCCTAAACCCTAAACCCTAAACCCTGAACCCTAAACCCTAAACCCCAAACCTTAGGGCTTAGGAAGACTCTTACGTCAAGACATTAGATTTTCAGCTGAAAGGCCCTCGCCTCTTGAGACAAAACCTCTGGTGCTCACATCCTGTCCGGCCCGGACCCAAACACGTCGAAACCCCAGCCCGTAAGGAACATTCTTACATGTTTCCCCCAACCATTCAGATAAGGACCCTTATAAGTATCAGACGTATGGACATATTAGACGACAACCACTCGAAAGATGTTGTCGGATCTAATCGTTGAGGGCCTATATATGCACTGGCACAGCAACTCCGCACTCTTCAAACCTCAAAAAAACACTTTTCGAGAGCCCAGTGCCGTTTGTGGCTCGGGTCCTTCCGGACCTGGGCCGTGACGTCCGCTAAGCCGCGCATCGTCTGGTGGAAGCCACGCCTAGGGAGAGGTTTCCAGGAATTCAGGGTTGGGGTTTAGGGATTAAGGCACAAAGGCGTACTGCTTTGTAAAAGGTTTAGGCTTTGGGGCTATAGTCGCATTGGCTTGTTGAAGCATAATACCCCGAACCCCAAAGCGGGCATTTCTTGCGCACTTCGCGCAAGTGGAGGCGAGCGGCATCTGGCCAAACTCACGCAGAAGATTGTCAAACTTGCCGGCGAACCTTGGCTAAGGAGGTTTAGGGTTTAGAGTCCAGAGTTAGGGTTACGGGTTTAGGGTTGTAGGATACTGGGAAGTGGGTGTACCTGCGCCTTAGGCGGGTTATCTAGATATACTGCTGGACCACCGTTTCTCTCAAGAGCTTTGTGTGAGCTAGCACCACTGACACAAAGTAAAGGGCGTACAAGCCCTGAACCCCAAAACCTCCGAAACCCTAAGCCCTAAACCCTGAGCCCTAAATATAGCCAAGAGAGTTATAATCCAAGGGAGATAATTCTTCTGACCCCAGTCAGGTTCCTCATAACCCTACTTAGACCCAGGGCAGCTCCTGTAGGGTTTAGAGTCTAGGCCTTAGGGTTTGGTGTTTAGGGTTTCGGGTTTTGGGTTGCTTCCAACACTTAAACCCACACCCGTTTGGTCAGAAGAGGGACTCCGAACCAGCCTCTGCCGTAGAAGGTGCGGCCAGGACATTCGAGAAAATGTTATGACTTTGCTATCTTATCATATGAAGTAGGGTATGTATTTCTTGTACCCCGAGAAGGATTTAAAAAAAAAAAAAAAAAAAAAAAAAACTTGTATACACTCACCAATAACAGAAATATAAGAAATATAAACATTGTTTCATATCATGATATTGCAATTTCGAGCGAAGAGGTCCTCTCCAAATGATGGAGTCCTTCTGGGAGGCTACCGATTAGCATAGAAATAGAAAGCCTTCGATTCAGATTTCCTCAACAGCACAATCACAACAGAGATCTACGCATTTGCAGTTTTGCGCTTGGGGTCTGGCTTTCTGGCCTGCTCCTCGACTCCCAAAACTTCGGGGTCATCCGGCTGGGGGGGGGGGGGGGGGGGGGGAGGGGACTTCGTCGCCCGCTTCTTTTTGTTGATCGGGACTGAAGGACTTAGGTACCATATGGAGTCCCAGAAAAAACACTCTTCCGAAGGTTCTTCTTTCACATAACCTCCCGTAAGGAGGAAGAATCGGCTGTGAGGCACCCCCCCCAGCCCCCCACCCCCCCACCCCCCCATCCCCCCCCCCCCCCCCCCACCCCCCATCCCCCCGCATCCCCCCCATCCCCCCCATCCCCCCCCATCCCCCCCCCCCCCCGCCATTCCCCCCCCCTGCCCCCCCCCCACCCCCCCCAAAAAAAAAGGATAAGGGCCTACTCTGGGTTCTAAAGTCCCTCTAAACTCTAAACCTTCAGATTCAACCTTTCAGCCTTTTGACCCTGAAGGGCGAACCCTCCCTTGCGTTGGAGCAGCGTGCCCGTTGTCACCTCCGCGGTAGCTCATACGGCTGAGGCTTTGGGGTTTGGGGTTTATAGGGTTTAGGGAGTTCAGGGTTCACGGTTTCGGGTGTGGGCCTCATCTAGAGGGGTTATGGCATAGGCTATCACGTATTCGAGCTTGCGAGGTATGAAGGGTCATAGGGCTGGCTTACGAGGTATGAATGGTCATAGGGCTGGCTTCGAACAGCTTTTCGTGCTGTAATTTCATAAAGGCTTATACAGGGTTCCTGGAGACACGAGCCCGCACTTGCAACTTACATCTGGTAGCTGTGGCAACCTCCCAGTCCAAGATAGAAGCCGCAACCCGTTTGGTTTGACGAGCTTAAACAAATAGGTTGGCCCTCTAAAATTGCCTTTGTTTTGAGAAGAATCGTTTGTTCGTTTGTTTTTTGTTTGTGGTGGGGGGAGGGGGGTTCTTAAGCGAATAGTAGGTGATCCTCTTGCACTCGTTAAGGAAAATAGCCCATGTCCCAAGGGAGAACATGGCTCCACAAAAAACCCGAACATGCGGACCCGACTTCGCGCACTCTGATCCCCCTAGACGCTTTTGACTCTACACCCAAAGCTTGGGCCCTAAATGGCCCTCACCCCCCAAGTACTAAAAACTGAACCCTGAATTCGATGTCATGACTCGGCCCATTTTGGCCTCGAGTTGCCGCTGACGCAGCTCAGCATTCAGCCGCAACAGCTCCTGCAACTTGCTACCCGGGTAGGACTCGGGCTTCGGGCTTCGGGTTCCAGATTTGGGCTGAACAGAGAACCCTGTGCGATGATCCTACAGAGGGGTGTAGAACAACTAGGGTTGGGGTACAAGTGCTTTGAGTTAGAGACTTCGCTCTTTGCGGTGCCCTGCTCAGCGTGATGCTGCCGAGTGTGGTGTTCAGGGTCCAGGTATACAGGCGATTCGTCGCCTGAGATGCGTAACTTGAACAGGCGCCGCAGGATCACAAAATGCCCGGACCTACACATGAAATAGGGTTGACATTCCTAGTATCCCCAAACCCTAAACCCTAAACCCTAAACCCTAAACCCTAAACCCTAAACCCTAAACCCTAAACCCTAAACCCTCATCTTCCCCCCCTGGTCGTGTCCTCGCAGTGCAATCGGAGTCGGTCCACCTCGGCAGACTCGCTCTGCGGACCTCGGCTCCGGCTCTGCGGGCTGAGGAGTTTAGGGTTTAGGGTTTAGGGTTTGGGGTTTGGGGTTTGGGGTTTAGGGTTTAGGGTTTAGGGTTTGGGGTTTAGGGTTTAGGGTTTGGGGTTTAGGGTTTAGGGTTTAGGGTTTGGGGTTTGTTTGGGGTTTAGGGTTTAGGGTTTGGGGTTTGTTTGGGGTTTGGGGTTTAGGGTTAGGGTTAAGGGTTAAGGGTTAAGGGTTTAGGGTTAGGGGTTTAGGTTTAGGGTTTAGGGTTTAGGGTTTAGGGTTTAGGGTTTAGGGTTTAGGGTTTAGGGTTTAGGGTTTAGGGTTTAGGGTTTAGGGTTTAGCGTTTGCGGTTTAGGGTTTGGGGTTTGGGGTTTGGGGTTTAGGGTTTAGGGTTTAGGGTTTGGGGTTTGTTTGGGGCTTGGGGTTTAGGTTTAGGGTTAGGGTTAAGGGTTAAGGGTTAAGGGTTAAGGCTTAAGGGTTAAGGGTTAAGGGTTAAGGGTTAAGGGTTAAGGGTGAAGGGTGAAGGGTGAAGGGTGAAGGGTTAAGGGTTAAGGGTTTGGGGTTTAGGGTTTAGGGTTTCGGATTTAGCGGCCTTTAATAATTAGAATAGGGTGTTAGGGGGGGTTATTATAGCATACTTATACAGGGACAATAAGGGTATACTCTTAGTGATTGCTCGGGTTTGGGGGTGTGGGGTTTAGGGTCTACAGGGCTTCAGTAGCATTTTTTGGGGCTTGTGGTTTGGAGTTTACGGTTTGGGGCACTTTGCTGCGGCATCTCAACACCTGCGCAAATGCAGAGGAGTTCTCCATGGTATGGTCCCTTGTTTGCAAGCTACAAATAAGGAACCCAAACTGTGAGAACTGGCCTACATCTTCCTATACTCCCCTTAGAACCCCGATAGAAAACAACATTGTTGGTATCCTCTTGAACTTGGGTTTTACATAAACAAAAAAACAATTCCCGAGGGGGGATGCATCTTCAGAAAAACCCTGTCCGGCCTTCAAAAAGCAATGCAGTTCAGAACCCCGGAGCCCGAGGCACCATGGGTTTAGGGATTAGGGTTTCGGGTGTAGGGTTTAGGGTTTAGGGTTTAGAAAACCCTAAACCCCATAAGCAACAAAAACCCTGAACCGCATGACGCCCTTAAAGGTTCCCCGACAATCCTGGGACTCCACCACCCAGTGGCTGATGTCGACGATCGCTTCCGCACCGACGCTTACAGTGTTCGAGCGCGTCACTAGGGCCTGTGGGGGTTTAGGGTTTATAGGGTTTAGGGTTTAGGGTTTAGGGTTTAGGGGCCAGGGTTTAGGGTTTGGGGTTTAGGGTTTAGGGTTTAAGGTTTCGAGCTCAGGAATCAACCTAGGAGACCCATGTGTTGTGAAGAGGTTTTCAAGGGATCCAGACCTATTCATAAACCCCAAACAAAGAAAAAAAAGAGTAGCAGGTACTTGGAAGCTTTTTGACTTCGTAAGTCTACTTAGTATCCGCCAGAAACTCAATTATAATCCCCACAACCCAGCTTGCTAACCCTAAACCCTAAACCCTAAACCCTAAACCCTAAAGCCTAAACTAAACCCTAAAGGGTTTGAACTTTAAACCCTAAACCCTACGAAGTCAAAAAGGGCTTGCAAGTAGGCATCCGGGGAAGACGACTAGGGCTGAGGGCTAGCGGTTGGCTTTGGGAAGGATGTGAGTGTGGTTGGCTTGGCGCTTGGAGTTTCTGGGCCTGGGGGCTAACAATTGAGTGGATTTCGGGTTTAGGGTTTAGAAGTTGCGCACAATGGCAGGGGTGTACTGCAAAACTCGCCCTGCAAGATTTCCACTGCTGTGCTCTAGTTAAGGAAGGTGGGTGGAGCCTTTCACCGAAAACATCCAACAAGCCCTAAACCTGAAACCTCTTGCGAACCTAAACCCTAAACCCTAAACCCTAAACCCTAAACCCTAAACCCTAAACCCTAAACCCTAAACCCTAAACCCTAAACCCTAAACCCTAAACCCCAGCCTCGTTCTTGAGGGCGGCCCACTCATCATCAGGGGGATGACGGGCCTGGGCGCTGCAGTCCAAGAGACTAGGATGCTCAGTAACCCAATATTAAAAAGGGTACCCTTTTTTGCTTAAAGGGGGGTTATAAGGGAACCTAACCCCCCAAAAAAGTGAATAAGGCCACGACTGGGCATCCTAGGAGAGTGCTCCCCTGCTTCGGCTGTAGTGTTTTAGAGTTGCTTAAGGTTGCTAGGGTTTTTGGGGGTTGTTAAAGTTTTCAGAGTCGTTTGGAGTTGTCTCAGGGTTTTTGGTATCTGTTGCTTGGTCATTTAGGGCTTTTAGGCTTTTGAGGGTTTTGGGCGTTTTCGGGTTTGCAGGGGTTGTTGAGTTTTGCAGTTGAGCCAACTCTGGTGGCAGGGGCTCGTTACTTCGTAAAAAGAAAAAAACCTCAAACCCTCGTAAGCCCTTTGGACTCCTAGGTAGGATTAGGGGAACCCTTGAGGACATAGACCCTCTCGATAAGTAAGAAAGCCAGAAGAGGGTTGAGAAGGGTGCCATCTTGAGGGGCCCCCTAATCCTACCTCGGAATCTAGGCTGCCCAGTAACCAAGGCTTAAAAAGGGTGCCCTTTTTTGCTTAAAGGGGTTGATAAGGGAACCTAAACCCCCCAAAAAGGGAATAAGGGTACTACTGGGCATTCTAGGAATAGAGAACCCCTGAAAAAGCCAAGATCCCGGCTGCTGGCATGGTCCAGACCTGCGACTGCTTTGGGGCTTCTGGGGCTGATTTCAAGAATATAGGGTTTAGGCTACAGTTAAGCATGGGGATTGTAAGGTTTAGGGCTATATCGAAGGGCTCTTCTTATATGGTTTTCGTTTAATACCCTAGCACAGCCTGGCTGCAGTTTGTGCCAGCTGCAGGGATTTCTGACATATGTGCTTCCAAATCCAGGCGATTCGGGGGCAAGGGGTGAGGGTTTGGGCTGGCAAGGGCTTGGTTCGGGACGAACTGAAGGGACATGCGGCCTCGACAGAAGTGAGCTGACATGCTGAGAAGCGACTTCATTATCAAAGAGGTTGCATAAGCCCAAAGCCCCAGTTGCAGCCCAAACGCACCCAATACAAAATACATGGCGGGAGGGTAGTCAGAGTGCAGCGCTTACAGGAGTCACTGCATGTTGCCTGGGAAAAGGGTTCGGGTAAACCTGCTAGAAGTAAGGCCTAAGCTACAAACCAGAGCTTGAACTCTCTAAGCCCTAAATAAGCCTATAAGCCTTATAACTGGACCCGGGAGTGACCTAGGAAGAACAAGGGTAGCCTTTTTGGTTTCAAGGGGATTATAAGGGAACCCCAACCCCAAAAAAAGGAAAAAAAGGGGCCTACTCGCGGTCCTAGTAGCCCTAAACCCTAAACCCTAAACCCGAAACCCTAAACCCTAAACCCTAAATAAGCACTGTACACCCTAAACCCTTCAGCCCTAAAGCCCGAAACCCTTTGGCTGGTGGCGGCGCTCGGGTGAGCTCCGAAGTTGTCGCTATCCGGTTTAGGGTTTGGGGTTAAGGGCTTAGGGTTTAGGGCTTAGGGCTTAGGGCTTAGGGTTTAGGGCTTAGGGTTTAGGGTTTAGGGCTTAGGGTTTAGGGTTTAGGGCTTAGGGTTTAGGGTTTAGGGTTTGGGGTCTGGAGACTGCGAGATACGCTGGCCAGCCCTGGGTCTCCTTGTCTTACCAGCACCAACCACGGCCGCCGTGCCCCCCACGCCCACGGTGTGCAATGTGCTGGGGTTTGCGACCCTTGGCCTTAAACACCAAGCCCTAACCCTAAACCCTAAACCCTAAACCCTAAACCCTAAACCCTAAACCCTAAACCCTAAACCCTAAGCCCCACCAGAAACTTGTAGTGCGATCGTGTGGTTTTGAGGCCGCAAGGGCCTCCTGGCTCGTCTGCATACGGGAGGCCCCCATCGAGAACTGCGGGGTAACAGACAGTAAGTCTTCAAAGGCCCGTACCCTGCGCCCCGAAAGGCCAGGTTCAGGGTTTAGGGTTTAGGGTTTAGGGTTTAGGGTTTAGGGTTTAGGGTTTAGGGTTTAGGGTTTAGGGTTTAGGGTTTAGGGTTTAGGGTTTAGGGTTTAGGGTTTAGGGTTTAGGGTTTACGAAACTTAGTAAGTAGGGTTATATGTACCTGAATTGGGGGGGGTTAGAAGTAACTTTAGCTCTAAGGCCCGTACCCTGAACCCTAAACCCTAAACCCTAAACCCGAAACCCTAAACCCTAAACCCTAAACCCGAAACCCTAAACCCTAAACCCTAAAACAACCTGAAACCTACAAGCATGCCACCCTTCTGGCTCTGAGGCTTCTCGGGGGAACACATGAACCCTAAACCCTAATCCCCGAACCCTGAACCCTATACCCTGAACCCTAAACCCCAAACCCTGAGGGCCTGGGGCTTTGCCGCACCGGCTGGGCGCATGAAACTCGGAAGCGCCACGGCGTCCGCTGGCGACTCGAGCAGCCCGTGCGGTTTAGGATGCAGGGTTTAAGGCTTTAGGGCTTTAGAGTTTTGGGCTTTAGGATTTTAGAGTCCTGGGGTTTAGGGTTTGAGAGTTTTGGGGCTTCAGGGCTTTTATTGGGGTTTCAGGGTTTTAGGGTTTTAGAGTGTTTGGTTTGGGCTTTTTTAGGGCTCTAAGCCGTTTAGCATGTATTGTATCAAGGCAGTAGTAAACGAAACAACCTACTTGCTTTAACTCTCAGTCAAACTGCAACACAGCAGCAAGTCTTGTGAATACTACTATTTGGTTTCATGTTGTCAACCGGTAAACAATGCCATGATGCAGCATGCTACATGTTGGCTTCTCCACTTGCCATCTGCCATAGTTTGCCCATCTTCGGCTGGTTAGCCGCACTTTGAAGTCATGCATCGAACACGGAGGACACGCAAACAGGACGCCACCATCATGTCACCTTGGCAACATTCTCGAAACAGTCTTCATGCACATTCTCGCTGCTTTCACGGCAAATGCAACACCTTGAATTTCTGGTTAAGAAGTTGCACGAGCTCGCACGCGAGTAACCTTGGTGACCCCATCGTCATGTCGGGGATGTTTTCGGAACCACCACCACCACCACCACCACCACCACCACCACATGACATGACGTCGCGATGCTCTTTTTGATGCCAAACGCGCCGATCAAAATCCGGTTTTTTGCAACGCTGTCCTGCACCAAGAACTTTTTTCCAAATTGATGAGATTGAACACATCAAAAACGCACTTACGGCGTCAGCTGCTAGTTAGGATGCCATGATGCCAGAACGACTGTCGATATTCCGTCTTGTTTGTTCCATTTTTCGTACGATACGAATATTCTAATGTTGCACCCGCAATATTCCCGGGGGCCGCTATTATGAAAACTTTTCCGGCTATTCAGGATCTGGACCCTCTGTTTTGGGGGTCCGCTATAATGAAAAGATTTCGGGCCGGGCCTTTTTTTTAATGGTTTTTGAGGTCAAGTTCTTAGTTTGAGATCTGGTTCCAAAACCCTGAAGACAGCTCATTTCTCTGCACGTCCTGCTTGCTCACCCCCCCCCCTGACTGTTTGGGGTCTATTTTTATTCAGGGTCGCGACTGTTGGTTGGGGGGGGGTTACATTATTAAAGCAGGTCCAACATTAATATGTTTCATATTCCTTTCTTCCTATGATGTATTACATGGGAAAATTTCTCTGCTCATTTAATGGATCGATCTTTAGAGTCCGATGCAACCGTGATCTATGCCCAACAATCATACTTAGAAATTGTTTACTAAAGCTATACAGGGAAATCTGAATGAACGAACATAATCATCAAATTTCGTATTAATTCTCCAAGATACCCGACGCATTTACGACCCCAAAGAAGGCTTGTAGGTCTTAGCAGAGGGTTTGCAGGGGCTTGTAGACATACAGGGAGAGGCTAGGGCTTTGTCGGCTCTGGATTTCATTTTAGGTTTTTAAAGTTTATCCCTAAACCCTGAACCCTAAACGCTAAACCCTAAGGTTCGTTGGGGCAACAGCCCAGGCCTCGCGACCCTCGCGACCCGGGCGCTTGTCCGGGTCTTTGTGGAGCCTGGCGGGCCAGTTCGGGTAGGTGTGAGGGTAATTGTCATGGGTTTCCCTACTACCCCCCCCCCCCCCCCCCGTGTACTACCCTCCTTAGGTTCCCCCCCCCAAAAAAAGACTCAACTAGGCTTAACTGTCCCAAAATAGCCTTAATTATGGGCGGAACCTAGGGGGGGGAAGTAGCGGAACCCATGAAATTGGGGGTTTCCAATACAGGGGGTGCCCTTTTTGGGGGTCCCTTTAAGGGGATTCTATTCTACTTTGGGGTATAAAAGGGGTACCCCCCCCCGCCCATTTTGCGAAATACCCAATGAAGGGTTCAGGAGCCTGTCAGATGTGCAGACCTCAGGAGTCAGGAGGTTAAGGACTTATGCTTGGAACGGGACCTTGGCCCAATGCCAACCCTCCATTGCATGGTCCCTTGGTATGGGCCCTCAAAAGGGGAGCCGTTATGTACCCCTTATATACCCTTAACACCCCGGCGGCCCATACATCAGTACCCTTTAGAGGTAAGAGACCATATTTTCGGCCCATGCAACTACCCGACTATCCTTACACAATGAACCAAAAACCCTGAACCCAAAACCCTAAACCATATTCCCTAAACCCTGTACCCTAAACCGGCCCTATGCACCTGGGCGTCTCTCGGCGGACATGTGGCAGCTCACCGGGAGATCTTGTGCTCGGTGCTTGCGCTGCGGTCAACATGGCCACACACTCTTAAAGTATGGCTTTAGGGATTAGGGCTGAGGCAGGAACCAAGACCTAAGACCCTACTACACTACACCCTGAACCCATACAAGATCTACACTAACACCACAAACGTGGCTACAGCAAATTCGCGCCATGTATCGTGTCGGGTTTATAGGGTTCAGGGTTAAAGGTTTGGGGCTTGGGGTTTAGGATCTACAGGGACTGAAGCTCAAAAAGCCTGTGCGCCCTGAAGCAAGAATCTCATGCAACATTGCACGCCGACATGACCAACAAGCACACCAGTTTCATGTCTGCGGGATAAATGGCTGCGGCCGAAGCTTCGCATTCGCAAGGCCTAGGATCCCCAGTAAATCCAGTAAGGAGAACCCGGAAAGCCTGACCCCTAAACCCGATAAACTCTAACCCTAAACCCTAAACCCTATAAACTCTAACCCTAAACCCTAAACCCTAAAAACCCTAAACCCTAAACCCTAAGCTAAACCGTACATCAGGCACCCTTTAGGCGTCAGGGATCTCGGGTTCAGCGCTCAAGGTCCCGAAGACCCCAAACGATATGCCCCCAGCTACATATTTGGGGTGCTATGTCATTGAAGGGATTCTAGGCTATCAGCTGCAACTTGTAATGTAAGTCATAAGCTAGAGCCTGCTAGTTTTGGGGGTGGGCTCTACCATCATTTACTATGGGATTTGCGCTACCCACCGTGGGCCCTCCGTTACAGCTCCGTTACAGCAACTGCTACAGTTCCGTTACAGCTCCGTTGCACCTCCGTTACAGCTTCCACTAGAGCTCCGTTACAACTCTGTTGCACCTCCGTTACAGCTTCCGTTACAGTTCCGTTATAGCTTCCGTTACAGTTCCGTTGCAGCTCCGTTACAGCTCCGATGCACCTCCGCTACAGCTCCGCTACAGCTCCGTTGCACCTCCGTTACAGCTCCGTTACAGCTTCCGTTACAGCTCCGTTACAGCTCCGTTGCACCTCCGTTACAGCTCCGTTGCAGCTTCCGTTACAGTTTCCGTGACAGCTCCGTTACAGCTCCATTACAGCTCCGATGCATCTCCGCTGCAGCTCCGTTACAGCTTCCGTTACAGCTCAGTTATACAGCTCCGTTACAGCTCCGTTACATCTCCGTAACAGCTCCGCCACAGCTCCCGTTGCAGCTCAGTTGTACAGCTCCGTTACGGTTCCGTTACAGGTCCGTTATCAAGTTGCTGCTTCTGCTACGGCTCCGTTACAGCTTCCGTTACAGCATCGCTGCAGCCGGTAGCGCTCCCTTGCAGCCTTCCGATACGACTCCGTTACAGCTCCGCGACAAGTCCGTTACAGCTCCGCTCCTTTCCGTTACAGTTTCCGTTACAAGCCCCGTTACAAGCCCCGTTACCGGCGAGCATTTCTGTCATAGTAGAGGCCTGCAAATGATGGTAGAGCCCCGCCCCAATGCTAGTTCTCGTCGTCGGGTATGGCAGGAAAGAACATAAAACCCCAACCCTAAACCCTAAACCCTAAACCTTAAATCCTAAACCCTAAACCCTGAACCCTAAACCCTAAACCCTAAACATGGAGCATGTTCAGACCTCAGAAGCCCGCCCATAGCCCGGCACGGTCGCACGCTGCGGCCGCAGCTGCGTAGGCTGCAAGCCTCTAGAATCTTAGCGCACCCAAGGGTACCTAAACCCTATAATTAAACCCGAATCCCCTGAACCCTAAACCCTAAACCCCTGTGAACCCTAAACCCTAAACCCGGATTCTAGGGCTTAGGGTTTGCAGGGCTTGGGGGGGGCTGGGATTAAGAAGCGCTGGGACTCTGGAGTCAGAGTCCCTGCCCTAGACAGCAAAAAACATAAACAGCAAACTCATTCCGAGCAAAATCTAGGGTTTGGGGTTTATGGGTTAGGGGGCAAGAACTTCGCTCACCTCGGCTAAAAGAAAAAAAAGGCAACCTCGACATGAACCTTCCTCGGTCACAGACAGGTCCGAGATTCAAAGCTCGCTGCTGCCATCAAGAATATTCTTTCGGGAAGTGCTTGACATTCACTTTTTAAACGTACAAAGTCGAAGCCAAAGCCAAAGAAATTCACGGAAACCAGACAAAGCGATAAACCTGCACAGACCCAAACACTAAACCTTAAACACTAAACCACCCAGCCTCAAGGAGCCTTAAACCCTAAACCCTGAACCCGAAACCCGAAACCCGAAACCCTAAACCCTAAGCCGATTCGCAAGTCCCAAAGCACGAGGGCCCCGGCGATGGCGATGGCAGCCACCCATGCGAGTCCGTCACCAGCGCCTAGTCCAAGACACCTAGTCCTGAACTCCAAACTCCTTTGGGTTTGGGGTTTAGGGTTTAGGGTTTCGGGTTTAGGGTTTGGGGTTTAGGATTTGGGGCTTTGTGTGTAGCGTGATGCCTTTGGGGGGGGGCATCAGGTCATATCATGTCCTCATCGGGTGCAGACAGGGGACTGTGTAGAGAACAGGGCTGAATAGGGTTTACCATGTGGCTTAGGGCCCTCTTAGTCTCAGGGACTGGCAAGGTAACCTTTCACCTTTGTGATTATATAGAATCCTGCTGTATATAAACGGTTAACCTTGTTGGGGCTAGGGTATTCAGCCCCGAAGTAGCCTGTGAAACTTGAGACCCCGAAGTAGCTTTCTGTGTGGTCTTTTTTTCTGGGTCTGAGCTCCTATACGGGGTTTCCGAAACGAGGGGTACCTCCTTGGGGTCCTTATGAGAAGGAGATCCCTCTTTTGTGGGGGTATATGAGGGGGCCCTTATTATCGTAAACCCTTAGATGGGCACATCTATTTGCTTGATTCAAAGGCAAGCCGCGAGAAGACCCGAATTCCAGAGGCTTAAGCCTACCAGACGGAGTCAAGGAGTGTAAGGCTTCTGGGGCTTATAGGGTTTGAAGGGTTAATAGGTTCTCATGGGCTTTTTAGGGCTTATAGGGTTTATCTGAGCCTCTGGCTATGGCGCTGTGCCAGGCAGCGCCACGCGCACAGGCAGCGACCTAAGTGGGTCCCTTGCTTGTGCTTGAAACTGGAGGTTATGAACGGGTCAAATAAAGCCCTGGACCCTAGACTCCCTTGACCTAAGCAGTAAACCCTCCCTTGACACCCAAAACCCTGACAACAAACACACACGCACACACACAGACAGAGAACACCAAAAAAAGGAGGCCCCCCCCCCTAAAGCCCAAGAGCTACAGAATAAGTGGGCCTGAACACCTTGGGGGTTGCTGTAGTAGAACAAGGTCAATAAGGTTTAGGGGTTAAGGCTTAGGGTGTACGGTTTACGGTTTAAAGGGTTATACATGGTCCCCGGTTCTGGGATTCTGAACAAACGAACCCATACAAAAATATGCAGCCAAATAGCTTTATACTTTCATGACTAGACTCCCGTGCGAACGGCACAACAAGAAAGGCTTGTAAGAGAATCCCTTGTTAAAAGAACCCGAAAATAAGCCGCTTCTTTAGAAGAGCTTCCAACTGTTTTGTCTGCGGGGGTGAGGGTTTACCGTTCTGGGCTTCATTGGTAGACCACCCGAAGACTACCAACACAATGCCAACTGAAAGGCAGAAGTTTCGGGTCCCGAACCGCATCCGAGCAAATAGTTTAGGGTTTAGGGTTTAGGGTTTCATTGGAACTCAAGCTTGAAATGCCCGCTTGGGGGATTCTAGGCCCAAGGGCCGTTCGCATCTGTTCGAAGTCCAAGACCGTGTCCGAACAACAACTTTCTGAAACTCAGCTGAGGCTTGGTTTAGGACTCTAGGAGCAGTTTGGGGTTCAGGGCTTTGGGTTTAGGGTTTAGAGTTTGTAGGATCTATGGGATAGTAACCCGTATGTTGCCCTTGTAAGGAAGAATGTGATTTTGTCGGGGGGGGTTCTTAAGCAAAACACAGTAGATTAGCGTTCTTGCTTTCGAAGATCCCTGAACCGCCGGTTCATGAGGCCCCCGACGGCCGCAGAGTGAGCCAGCCAATCGACGCCCCCCACAACGAGGTCACCTGCTCGGGGTTGTTTGGGCCTTAAAGCCCTAAACTCCACCTGAACCGTATAACTTAAACGGGGGTCCGGGATTCTGCAGGCTCTTAGAAGAACCTCTTCAACCCAATTGGCCCTGCCCCATTTAGGTTCCATACGGGTTGGAACGTTCCCCCTTATGCTAGCAGTCCTTCATAGGGATCCGCCGAGGCCTGGGGCCCGAGGTCCACCCAATCCAACCCCTTTTTTTGGCCTCAAATGGGTACCCCCCCTGGGAAACCGGCGTCCGCAAGCGGACGGTTCCCAGGACCCGAGGCAGTTGAAGCCCCACCCCGCCCCCTCCCCCGCCCCCTCCCCCCCTCCACCCCCCCTCACGCCCACCCCCCCCCCGCCCCCTACCCCCCCCCCCCCCCCCCCTCCCCCCTACCCCCCCCCCCCCCTCCCCCCCCACCCCACCCTGCCGAAGAGTCGCCTTAAACCTTAAGGGGCCTGGCTCAACCCTACGATCACTCCAAGCCGAACCCGAACCCAAAAAAACCCTCAACCCCAAAGCGTGAACCTTGAGCCCTAAACTAACCCTCAACCCCAAACCCCAAACCATAAACCATAAACCCGGAACCCTCAACCCTCAACCCTCAACCCAACCCTTATTGCTTGGGGTCCAGCGACTTGGGCGCTGCGGAATCACCATGCTCACGCGGATGCGCTGGGCCGGGCAGAGGCGGGTCGCGTAGCGTTAAAATTATAGTACCCCCTGTTGCAATCCCCATTCAGGACTATTCGTATAAGGGGGAATATCCCCAAGTTTAGGGTTTTGCAGGTCTTGGGTTCCAGGATTTTGGGATTCCTTTGCAAGTAGCTTTTGGGTCCTGTAAGATCCGAGGGTCTAGAGTTCGAAGGCTTGGGGTTTTAACTCGAAAAACCTAACCCTAAACCCTAAACCGCAAAAAGGGTGCAGTGTGCAGAAGCCTAGGGCTTCTCTCCAAGAAAGCCAAAAACATACGAACTCGTCAAATCCCGTCCTTCTAATCATGACTTGCACAAAAGGCCTAGATCCGCATAAACCCTAAACCCTTAAACCAGAATAAACCCTAAACCTAAGGCCAAATAGCCCGAAGCCCTAAACCCTTTTCTTTTGCATCCGATTCCTTCAGCGGCTAAGCCGCGCGTTCGGAGCAAAACTTCGCGGACTCACTGGGAAGGCCCCACCAGCACTCAATCTTAGTAGCTGTTTAGGGTTTAGGGCTTAGGGGCTGAGTTCACAAGCCCCAAAAAAGTGTAGACTTTCAGTAGTTCTATATAGGGGATCATCGTATCCCAAAAGTGTAAAGTGTACTCCTTCAGCTACTAAGCAATGACCCTTGACAGGACCGTTGGGCTCTATGGTCAGGGATTACCAGGATGGGCTATCAGGCCCTATAACCCCCCTAGTCAACCCTATAAAGGGCCTCTTCAAGGGGCTGGAGGGCATAACAGCAGGGTTCTTCCCTCTAAGTGAAGTACACGTAGAACGGTTGCAATTGCTATTGCGGTTGCTGCTGCCAGTACGGCTACTCTCACCATTTCTGTGATTTACGTGAGTATGTTCGTGCTATGGCTACGATAGTACTACAAAGGGACCCTGAGTGCAGTAGTGCCAGGGGGAGGCGGCGGAGGCTTCATAGCACAGCGTCTTGGTATCCCCTCCGAAACAAGGATTCCTAAGTTGTCGAGGCGACGTGTTTAGTTTTTTTTTTTGGGGGGGGGGGGGGCTGAAAACATTTAGGCTTCAACGGGGTTCATCAAAAAATGTGGCCCCCGAAACAGCAAGAAGTATACTGTATTGGACACTGGTGGTGCGAGGAACCCCTCAAGGTCTTGGGCAGAGGAAGAAATTTAGGGTTTAGGATATTTAGGGCGTTTAAAGGGATAGTTTCTCATTCGCAGATGCACAGCAGTCTGCCGCAAGAAGTCGAAGAGCACACGATTCTACCCCTGTAACATGTCAGCCGCGATGTGCGACCACGGCACTTAAAGTACCTGGTTCAGGTTTAGGGTTTAGGGTTTAGGGTTTAGGGTTTAGGGTTTAGGGTTTAGGTTTTTAGGGTTTAGGGTTGACACACGGAGTTCAGGGGGCTCACAACAGTTCTCTGCCACCTCCCCAGAAGACTCGGAACCGAAGACCTGCCTTCGGCATGGTAATTCCGGCTCGCTTCGAACGTGTGCGGCGCGCCGGATCTGGCTCTGCCGAGAACCAGCATAGTGTGCAGCGTTCTCGTTGTCGGAACTGAGAGCTCTGCACGACATGCAGTTGAGCTATAGCCGGCAAAGCTAGATCCTATGTTGAAGGTTCAAGTGTGTAGTAACAAGCGGGTTTTAACGTCAGATGTAGTAACGCCGCCAATGTAGCTACGTATAACCCTACTCATAAGTTGGCAACTAAATAGTTGTCCTTACACTTTTGTGCCCCAGCGACTTCAAGATTACTTCATGCCTTAGCTTGGGGCATCCATGCGGACGGTGTGCTGGCGGCCACTAAAGGGCAGCAGGAGCTAGGGCTTACTTTGGAGGCGGGGAAGCTGGCAAGAGGTACTACTTTGTAGAGCTGTGAGCACCCGAAAAAGAAAGGGATCCGAATTCAGGTTTACCGCCTTACTTCTCCTATAGAAAAAAAGGTGCTCCTCGGCATCCTGGGTCGACACAAACCCCCAACACAAAACCCAAAACCTTGAGTTTCGCGCTACACCCTAAACCCTAAACCCCAAACCCCAAACCCCAAACCCCAAACCCTAAACCCTAAACCCTAAACCCTAACCCTAAATCCAAAACCCTAAACCCTAGCTCAGCTGCAAAAGCTCCATGAAGCTGTCGAATGACAGCTCACCCGAGCCCGTCGCTTCCACCTTCGCCAGGAGGTCATCGACATGGTCCTGGAGGGTTGAGGGCCCCAAAACCCTAAACCCTAAACCCGAAACCCTAAACCTTAAACCCTAAGCCCTAATCCTAACCCTAAACCCTGAACCCTAAACCCTAAACCCAAGAGGTTCAGGGTGTAGGGGTCCTCGGCTTCCGGGTTGCATACATCAGGGGACGAGGGTAGAATATGACTTATGTCGTGAGCGAGCAGCACCTCTTACAGAATACCACACATCCAATGTGCGAAATCAATCCTCCCTCAGACCTTGAGCACCCTGCGCAGCCCTAATAGCCCAATGGCACAATTAGCCCTAATAGCTCGAATAGTCAAAAGCCCTAAGCCCTAAGCCCTAAGCCCTAAGACCTAAGCCCGAAGCTCTGCGCCCTAAGCCCTAAGCCCTAAGCCCTAAGCCCTTAGCCCTAAGCCCTAAGCCCTAAGCCCTAAGTCCTAAGCCCTACGCCCCCAAATCACGACATGGAGCCTTGCGCTTGTCTGCTTGCCAAATGCCCTTCACTGCTCCACCGTGCAGAATCTTGCGGAGGTCGGCCTTGCCAGGGCGTGGGGTTTAGGGTTTAGGGTTTAGGGTGTAGGGTTTAGGGTTTAGGGTTTAGGGTTTAGGGTTTAGAGTTTAGGGTTTAGGGCTTAGGGTTTAGGATTTAGGGCTCTAGGTTCTAGGGTTAAGGGTTTAGGGTTAGGGGGGTTCAGGGGGGGTAGGTACCTGGGGAACTAGGGAAGCTTAAGGAGCCAAATAGGGAGTAGTGGAGAGGTTTAGGGCGCCTTGGGTTCATGCCCCCCTTGAACCCCGTAGGTTTAGGGTTTAGGGTTTTGGGTTCAGGGTTTAGGGTTTAATTAGGGTTTAAGGGTTTGATAGGGTTTAGGGTTTAGGGTACGTCCCTAAAAATGACCTAAGAACCCTGTAGGTTCAGCGGTCGTTTAAGCTTTTGGGGCATAGGCCTTAGGATTCAGGGGGCTGTAAGAGTCTAGTGGTTTGCAGGGTTCAGGGCCTTCAAAGTCCACAGCCACAGGGCGCAACATTCAAAACCCTAAACCCTAAACCCTAAACCCTAAATTTGGATCCTCATCCTTGAGCCCAAAGAAGGTCTATGAGCAAAGCGATAGCCTAAACCCCAAGCCTGTTGAGCTCCCGTACTAAGCCCCAAACCCAAGACCACAAACCCCTAAACCCAAACCCACGAACCCAAAACCTAAACCCCAAACAAACCCTCAACCCCAAATTCGCATCCAAAACACGGGAGCAAAGCCCTGCACCTGGAAGTGAAGCCGACACAAGACGCCAACCCTCAAACACTAAACCTACAACCCCTGTGTACAGACCTAAACAGGGGGGGGGGGGGGGGGTTGGTGTAGGGGCTTTAGGATTTGTTATGGTTTTGCAGGGCTTCGACCCTTGAGCAGTAGACCCTAAACCCTGAACCCTGAACCCTAAACCCTAAACCTCCCTACCATATAACCCTAAATGTTAAACACCAATTGTGGAATTTGATCCGTGCTTTTGTTTTTCACTTTTTTTAACCCCCCCCCCCCCCCCCATGGTTCAGCACGAATTGGAGAATTTGATCCATTTCGGCCCCTGATCCATTTCGACCCCTCTGACCCCTTTGACCCTCCATTGTTCAGCACGAATTGGAGAATTCGATCCATTTCGACCCCTGTTTGGCACGAATTGGAGAATTTGATCCATTTCGACCCCTCCGTCCCCTTTGACCCCCCCATTGTTGGGCACGAATTGGAGAATTTGATCCATTTTCACCCCTCCGACCCCTTTGACCCCCCATTGTTGTGCACGAATTGGAGAATTTGATCCATTTCGACCGCTCTGTGTCTCCTGAAATTTTGACCTCTCTAACCCTCCATGGTTCAGCACGAATAAGAAATGAATCAACTTTCTATTTTCGTAATGTTATGGGATTCTTTGGGCGGGTGGGTTTTGTTCCGTTGCCTACACACACTGCTGGCCTAGTAAATGCTCGAACTTGAGATGCTGAACCCTAAACCCTAAACCCTAAACCCCAAACCCCAAACCCCAAACCCTAGCCGGACCATCCTTGGAGATGCTTCCCGTGTTGGACTGGTCAAAGTCCTTCACACTCAGAAGGGTTTTTGGGAAGTTGGGTTTAGGGTTTAGGGTTTAGGGTTTAGGGTTTAGGGTTTAGGGTTTAGGGTTTAGGGTTTAGGGTTTAGGGCTTAGGGTTTAGGATTTAGAGTTCCTCCTGTTCGTCTGGACTAGGAGGTTTTGGAGGTAGTGTTTGTCTGGAATGCCTTACATGCTTATGAGGTGGGGTTTCAGGTCTAGGGCTTTGTGTTCCAGCGCTCACATGTCATTCTTAGACTGGGTGCTGTAGAATGTAGGGTTTTGCGCCTAACTAGCAGAGAAGGTGCCTTGGGGTTTCCTTTGGGAGCTCTTCGGTACTAAACAAAAACTAGTCATTAACCGACATCCGTTGTTGCTTAGATATTTAGGTGCTCTAAGTAGTTTCTCTGTGGGGTCTCCATGATCGAACCGGGGTTTCGCAATTACGGCTTCGGGCTTACGGCTTGCTTTTTGGTCCTTAGGGGGGAATTGCGGAAAAAGGTTCACCGCATGTTCGTGAGAAAGTGTGCCAGGGGGCGCGCCTCGTGCCCTACTCATTCCACAGCAGTACGCAAAGTCTGGGCTTCAAATCTTTCAGAAGACAACGCCAAACTATGTCCAGCCAGAAAAATTGCGCAGGGAGGGTGGGAGTGACTTCCGGGCTGGCTTAAACCAACCTATTTTAGGCTCAAAAAAACCCAAAAGCCTTGTTCTGTCGTGGCCTAACATGAGAGTCCTGGGAGCCTCAGGGTATGACCCTAAACCCTAAACCCTACACCCTAAACCCTACACCCTGAACCCTAAACCCTAAACCCTCTAAACTCTAAGACTCAGGTTGGAAGGTTACGAGCCAAATCCAATGTCAAGGTGCTGCTGCGCGGACACTAGGTGTCATTGACCCTATCGGCCCTATCGCTTTCAGGGTTTGGGGTTTGGTGTTTGGGTTTCGGGTTCAGGGTTTCGGGTTTAGGCAAGAATAAGCACACACACACAGAGACTGCGTGGCATGGCTTGACAGATGCGATGATCACGCTAGGTTCCACCGATGACGCGGTGCAAAACCCTGCGGCCTCAGACCCCTAATTTAAACCCTAAGCCCTAAACCGTAAACCCTAAACCCTAAACCTCCTCAAACCCTAAACCCTAAACCCTAAACCCTCTCAACCCCAAACCTTCAGCCCTGCAGCTTCTCCTGGAAGGTAGCCCACAAGAGATCCCGGCGCTCAAGGTGTTTCGAGTCCATCACCGCGGCCTGAGAAAGCCAAACAGGGTTTAGGGTTTAGGGTTTAGGGTTTAGGGTTTAGGGTTAGGGTTTAGGGTGGTTTCGAGGTTAGGGTTTAGGGTTCAGGGTACCCGAAAGCCCTGAAAGCCCTAAGCCCCAACTATCCTAACCCCAAAGCTACACCCTCAGCTCGCAGCCATAGCACCCCTGCCCCAAACCCTAAACCCCAAAACCCTAACCCGCAAACTCTCTGGGAGATTGGGCCTCCATCCTGCTATGGACTGCCCGCCGTCAGCTTTACTTGGGCTTGAGACCCTCAAGGCCCTATAGGGTGACAGTGAAGGGTTGGTAGTGTCAATATAATCCTCTTATAAGACTCCAAGAAGAGGGAAAGCCAACATACATGTATCCAAAACAATACATATATTATATCTATATATATACATATATATATGGTCACCCCCCCCCAAGATCTACACCCTCCTTGTCTACACTACTCTTCTGCTTGCTTCCACGCACTTGTGAACAAGTAGTGCACGCCGAAAACACTGTAAATACCGATAAAATCGTACTTGTCGAGTATTTCCGGGACTATTTTACGTAACACATCATGCATGAAAAATGTCTATAAATCTGCAACCGAATTTCGGCTTAAAATTATGTGACCTTCTATACTCCGAAAGCCAAAAAACCTGGAAGGTATAGCAGTTTTGCTGTTAACACCTCAAAAAAATCGTGTGTTTTTGTGTTTTTTGCTGTTGTCTTAGTAAACGTGCTGAACTGCACGTGTCAACACCGGGTCTGACGGGGCTTCTTGCAAGATTCCCAGGAAAGGGTCTCTTTCTCTCATACAACAATAACAGCCAATAGTAGGGTAATTCCTACCACTAACCATAACAATATTATCATGCCGACTGTTATGGTAATCATTGATGTCGTAGTAAAATATGTCCGCTGCGTTCCGGGGGTTCTGCAAACTCCAAGTCTTGCTTATCGGGCGGTGTGTCCCATAGATGTCCTTCATTGCTCACTCCAAGCAAGCTGAAAAGAGGACTTCCTACTAAATCGACAAAACCAGTATGTACTTGGTATTGAATTTCTATGCAATGAGTATTGCATTGGTGTGCTTTCAAAATGTACCAGGTGTTTCAATAGTATTTAATTTGCCTATTTAATCAACATTTTTGCTTAGAAAAAAGCGTTGCTTAGGACAATTGCCTTATTTGTGCCGAAACACCTGAAAACCAAAAGTCCAAACTTCGCCAGGGATTCTCCCCAGGCTTTAGGATTTGGAATTTCCGAGTACTATGATCTTCACGAGGCAAATAGGCTTCTAAGAAAGAATATGTATTCTTGAGCTTGTCTATGCGAGTTGTGCGCTTGAGACAGAATATCATCTGTACAAGTGGTATTTATTTAGTGCTCGAGCAGTGCTTCATCACTATGTGATGAAAAGTGCTTGTCTTTAAAGTCAAATCTAGTACACATAATCGCTGTGCTAAAGTCGTGTTTCTTTAAGATCTCTACGAGAATCACGCATTTGTAAGCTTGTCTATGCTGTTTAAGAGTTCGTAATTCAGTATTTTTGCCGCACTATGTGCTTAGAAGAGTATTTTTGTTGGGCTTGGGACAAGCACTGCTTCTCTAGAAACAGAACGAATTGCTTTTCAAAAAAGCATCTTGTCTCTAAAATTGCAGTATTTGTCTAGATTGCCGAGCGCAATCGCTACATTTTGGATATTCTATGAGTGACCAAAAAACTAGGATAGTTCACTCGGCCTCTTTCGTATAGTATTAGTTCAATATTTGCCTAGTGCAGGCACTATGCATCTGAAAAGGCACAGTATTTCCCTAGGTTTTGGCACGCACTATTCTCTACAAGAGAAACACAAAATCAGACAAACCAAAAACCCACAAACCAAAAAAACCAAAACCAAAAAAAACAAAATAACCAAAATGACAAATTTTTCTGAGACTCTTGGAAACCAAAAAAAACCAAAAAACCCAAAAACCAAAACCCCCAAACCAAAAAAACAAAAACCAAAAAACAAAACATTATTCCGAGACTCTTGGACAAAGGGAATCAATACCCCGTGTCGTCAAGAGTTCGAAAATAATGTGTTTTTGGCTTTTTTGTTTTTTTTTAGTTTTGTTTTTTTGTTTTTTTTTGGTTTTGTTTTTTTTGGTTTCGGTTGTTTTGGTTTCACCTGTCCGAGAGTCTCAGAATAATGTTTTTTTTTGTTTTTGTTTTTTGGTTTGGGCTTTTGGCATCCTGATTTTGGCGTTGTTGACCTTTTTTTTGGTTCTGGAAACCTGTAAACGTAGATCTTGGGGGGGGTGGTGAGCTATATGGTCATACACACCACCTACTACTTGGTGTATTGGCTGCCCTGATGCCGACTATAACCTTACTTCTAAAACTTTACGCGACTCTCGAGCCCGAGCCCCACTGCAGGTTCCACCGAGGAGCCAAGAACTCGCTGTAGTCGATCTCGCCAGAGCCATCTGTATCCAGAGCCAGGAAAGCCTGCCAGACGAGCTTGGGGTCCTTTTTAGGGTTTAGGGTTTAGGGATTTGGGTTTTGGGGAGGGTTGGCTCGGGGCCTAGGGTTTGGGTCATGGGGGGTTTTTGGGGTGAGAGTTTGGGGCTTCGGGGGTTTAGGGCTTCAGGGCTTTAGGGGTTGAGGGACATAGGGTTCAGGGGTTTAGGGCTTTAGGGCTTTAGGGGTTAGGGGCTTTTCTTGGCTACTACAGGGCTTTTGGGCTCTAGGGCTAGCAAGGAGAGGCTTCCCGGGTCGAAGGCGTCCGGCTGCTGGCACCTCCTCGGCCCATGCTGCGGTCTTGCCTCCATCCGCAAGGGCAAAGCCCTTCTTCCACTCCTCCCAGAGCCACGGTTTAGGGTTTAGGGTTTAGGGTTTAGGGTTTAGGGTTTAGGGTTTAGGGTTTAGGGTTTAGGGAGTGAAGGGTAGGATTTAAGGGGTTTAAAGCCCTTCTTCCACGCCTCTGGCAGGGTTTCAGGGGTTTAAGGGTTTAGGGGTAGGATTGAAAGGGCTTAAAGAATCTCTTCCACTCCTCCGGAAGGGTTTAGGGGTTTATGGGTTTAAGGGTAGGATTGAAAGGGCAAAGCCCTTCTCCCACTCCTCTGGCAGGGTTTAGGGATTTATGGGTTTAAGGGTAGGATTTGAGGGGTTTAAAGGCTCTGCTTCCACGCCTCTGGCAGGGTGAGGGTTTAGGGGTTAACAAGGGGTCTAAGGGGTTAGGGTTTAGGGTTTAGAGGGGCTTAAGGGGTCCAAGGGTTTGGGGGTTTAGATTTTTTAGGGTTGCAAGGGGGTTAAGGGTTTGAGCATTTGAGGGTTTTAAGGATTTGAGGATCCAAGGGGTTTAAGGCTTAGGGGCCTAAGGGTTTAGGAGTTAAGGGTTCAGTTCTTAGTGTTCAGGACTTGAAGGTTCATTTTGCAGTCCTAGCACAGGGTACATGTCCCTTAACTCGTGTCCTGAAAGTTGTAGATCCAGTTTCCCTGCTTGCAACACCACCGATAACTACCCATGGACCTCCAACTGGGCTTACCCCTCAAAACCCGAAGCCCTAGCCCCTGAACCCTGCGCTTTCCGAGCCCCCTCAGAACCCACAAACCCTAAACCCCTGAATTCCACAAACCCTAAACCCCACAGCCTACACCCTACACCCTACACCCTAAACCCTAAACCCTGAACCCTAACCTCCAAACCCTAGGCCCTCAAAACCCTCAAACCCCCCACCTTTCCAGAAGCCCCTCTTTCCTCCAAGGAAATGGTCCCATCACTGTTGGAGTCCACGGATTCAAACATCTCCAGCAGCTGCTGCAGCTCGTAGCCTACTTGGGCGTTGTTTATGGTTTAGGGTTTAGGGTTTAGGGTTTTGGGTTTAGGGTTTTAGGCTTGTGTAGGGGCTTATTAGGACCTTAAGATTTGCGACCTAATGGTTTGTATAGGGGTTCTGGGGTGAAGTTCGGGCTCGAGTAGAGAGTGTGGGGGGGTTCCGTGGTGAAGTTCGGGTTTGAGCAGGGTATGTAGTGGGTGGGGCGCCCGCAGGCGGGCCCATCATGCTTCTCTTGAGAGTATTGGCCGGGCGCCCACAAGGCACAAACGAAAAGCGTTATCATGTACGAAAACTAAACCTGCTCAAATGTACAAAACGGAACTATAACTAGACCCAGGAGTAACCTATAACAGTAAAAACGGTACCCTTTTTATTCGTTTTAAGGTGATGATAAGGGAACCCTAACCCTCAAAAAAGGGAAATAAGGGCCTGCTCAGGGTCCTATATGATGTACGAGAAGCGCCCTCTGGCCTACCATGCCTTCCTATGGATGCCCAAAGCCTGAGCATCTGCTGGGTACCTATGTATTGTCCTAACTGCCCTGAGCCCCGGATCACCTAAACACTTTGACCTGAAAATCCCCTGAAGCCGTAACCCTAAGCCCTTCAACCCTTAAAACTCGAGCGAAGGCCTTAAAACCCTTTGAACTCTTAACTACTGGCGTTCAGTCTTTCAAGCCCCTTAGAATTTCAGGGTTCATCGCTCGTAACAAGATGCCCCTGAGCTTCCAGCAACGAAGCTTCAGACATGTTTAAGATGTGGCAGGTATGTTGCGGATGTAGCTTAGGAGAGTGGGCATCAGGTGTCTAGGGGCCCATCCATCAGAACCCTTAAAAGAAGGTAATGGACCCTATTTACTATTAAGGGACCAGGGTTTAGGGTTTAGGGTTTAGGGTAGATTCAAGGGGCCGTTGCTTCGGAGTTGGTGCGCGCGTGCCTTCGAGATGTCGGGCAGCTGCGGTCAGAGCTGCCTCACATGCGGGGAACAGGGCCCTCTGCAGAAGGTTACAAAGCTTCTAACTCCCCTCAACCCTAAACACTAACCCTACACCTGACCCCAAAAACCCTAAACCCTAAGCCCGAAGCCCTAAACCCTAAACCCCAAACCCAAACCCTGGGCCGGATGGAAGAATGAAGGCTCACCGTGGGCTAGCACCGTCAACAGTATGATCTCAGCGCTCCAGAAAACCGAAACACTGAGACTCCTTCGAGCCCCCCCCAGAGTGGAGAACACGAAAGGAAGCGCTTTCTATAGAAAGTCTTCTCTATGGGCCTACCTTCGACTTCCCTACACGTGCGACGTGACATCGGAGAATCTTCGGATTCGTTCAGGGCTCAGTTTATCTTCTCCCTCGTGGGTGCTCACAACAACGGCAGGGGCACCAAGAGCTTCGTTCAGCTCAATGGGTGGTTGTCAAAATTATGATCCTTTTTGGGGTACCCTAAATAGTAGGTGCCGTATTATAATAGGGACCCAAAAAGGGACCATAATTTTGACAACCACCCCAATGGAGGGCAGCCATAGATCGTTCCTCGATGCAGAGCCCTTCAATGCCCCAAAGCTTGCGCAGTGAACCCTGACGCGTGCTTGCCAAGAGACCCGAAGTACCACGCGGCTTTATGAAAATTAGGACTGGGCCCTAAACCCTAAACTTCCTAAACCCTGAGCCCTGAGCCCTAAACCCTACACCCTAAACCCTGAGCCCTAAGCCCTAAGCCCTCAGCCCTAAGCCCTACGCCGACTTGCCAGCCTTCTTCATGCTGGAGGAGGCCGTGAACCGCTCGACGTTTTGAGAGATGGCCGAAAGCACCTGGGTTTAGGGTTTAGGGGTTGAGGGTTTAGGGTTTAGGGTCGCTTGCCATGTCTTGGCTAACCATGTCAAGCAGAAGCGGGTCACCCCTTAACCACCCAAATCGTAAAACAAATCAACTTTTAACCCTATAAGCCCACCGGGACCCTAGAATCCGCACACTTCGCCCACCCCCCGCTCGACATCCATCCGAAAGCAGCCCTCTTTGAGCAAGCTTGCGGTTCACAGGTTTTGAAGCAGGAGTCTAGGAGGGTCGAAAAGTTAAGGAGTCTAAGAGTTTAGGAAATTAAGAGTTTAGGGGTTTATAGGTTTTGGAGGAGGAGTTTAGGAGGGTTTAAGAGCTAAGGAGTTTAAGAGTTAGGGGATTTGGGGTCCAGGGTTTAGGGTTAAACCCTAGAAGCCCTAAACCCTAAACCCTACACCCTAGGAAGGTTTAAGGGTTAAACCCTAGAAACCCTAAACCCTAAACCCTAAACCTCAGAAGCCCTGTGCCTCTGCCCTAAACCCTACACCCTGCGGTTTTGGGGTTTGGGGTTTAGGGTTTAGGGTTCAGCGTTAAAGATTTGGGGTTTAGGGTTTTGGGTTTTGGGTTTAGCGCTTAGGAATTGGGGTTTAGGGTTTAGGGCTAGGGAACCCCAGACCTGCCTCCGGTCGGAGATTCTTCGCCTCCTTCTGGCGGAAGGCATTGAAACCGTCTTGGAACTCGTTCTTTGAGAGTAGGCCGTCCTGGTCTAGGGCTGAAGGGTTTGAAGGGGTCATCCTAAACCCTAAACCCTAAGCCCTCATAGTCCCAAACCCTAGCCTGCTAGACCCAGGAGTAACGCAGGAATCAAGAAAGGGCGCCCTTTTTGGCTTTAAGGGGATTATAATTAAGGGACCCTAAACCCTGCAAAAGGGTAATAAGGGCCTACTCCGGGTCCTAGCCTGGTTTAGGGCTGAAGGGCTGAAGGTTTAGAGGTTTAGGGCTTAGGCTTAGAGGTTTAGGGGGTTAAAGGTTTGGGGCTGAAGGAGGTCTCAGGGGTCTTAGGGCTTAAGGGTTCAGCGGTTTAGGGGCCTCGGAAACCAAATAGCCCATTCTAAACCCTAAACCCTAAACCCTAAACCCTAAATCCATATTCCTGACTGATGGTGCTTGGGACCTACCAGTCTGGCTTTGTTCTTGTCCTGACCAATAGCAAGACCCAGGAGTAACCTGGGAATAAAAAGGGTGCCCTTTTTGGTTTTTAGGAGGATTATAAGGGAATCCCAACCCTAAATTAGAAGGAGATAAGGGCCTACTCCGGGTCCTAGGTTGAACCATCTCCAGCAAGCAGATCTCACAAAAATGGAGACAGGGTCTGCGCTCCAGCGTGCCGAAACGGTCCCTGCATGTCCTGATTGACGTCCCACTGCTCAAAGAGCTCCTCCCCAACGAGGTAAATAGCAAAGGTCAGGGATTAGGGTTTAGGGTTTAGGGTTTCCCCCACTCACTCTAGATCCAAAACCCCAAGCCGAAACTCTCACAATGCGTGGAGATGTCAGGGCAGTCAGAAACACGTCTAGGTGCGAAGCGAGGTTGTCAGGGCAGAAGCGAATGTTGACCCCCGATCCGACGCTTTAGGGTGCCTAGGGCTCAAGCTTAAGAGTGAAATAACGGTTGCTGCATGGACGAAGACCCAACTGTGGAGTCTGACGAAACCTGACGAATCCCACAAAGAATGGGCTGCAAATTTGAAATCGCCTTATTACCGGGTTTTATGCCTATCTTTCATCCGTTGCAAAGAGTGGAAGTCTTACTTCCTGGACATACCTTCCGCCGTTCAAACAAGAGATTGTGCATCGGTTGTACCTAAGTTGCATCAAACGCCTGAAGAGCTCGCCAATCCCAGAAGCCAGTACTAAAACAACACACACACACACACATGGGAACAAGCAACAAAGCGAAGCTTACACTTGGGCCAAGGCTTTTTTTGAGCAGGGTCCCAACCCTATAAACCCTAAACCCTAAGCCCCCACACCCTAAACCCTAATCCCTAAACCCTAAACCCTGATCACTAATCCCTAAAACCCTTAGGGCTGCAATGTCGTAAGGGCCAAAGCCGGCATTTCCACTGCCACCTCTTTAGGGCTTCCTAGGCTTTCGGGCGAGGGTATAGCGTTTAGGGTGTTAAGGGTTTAGGGTTTAGGGCTCAGGGTTTAGGGTTTAGGAAGGGTAAGTGTGCTAAAGGGATTTAGGGTTTGCAGGGGTTTAGGGATTGCAGGGTTCAGGGTTTTTTTTGTTTATTCTCAAGTACAATTTCCTCCCTTACCGGCCCTTGGGGCACAAACTTTAGAGTTTGCTCGAAAAGTTTCGGAATTACTTCTGGGCAGCCCAGTAGCTCTACAATCAGGGCACCCTTTTGGGGTTGGTTACTTTGTAAGGGAACCCGTAACCAAAAACCCTAAACCCTAAACCCTAAATCTTACATGCGGTTGGGAACCCTGTACAGTCTCCTTCACCGTCTCAGATTCCAGCCCTTGCTGCAGAAGATAATCGTGCAGCTCCTGGATCACGTCGCTCCGACATGCTAGGAGTTGTTGGAGGTTTAAGGTTTAGGGTTTAGGGTCTATAGGGTTTAGGGTTTATGGTTCAGGGTTTAGGGTTTAAGGTTTATGCAGGGTTTCGGGCTTTAATTGGGTCTTAAGCAGGTTTTAGGATAAACTAGTTATCGCCTAAAATTGAAGTGGTTGGTAGTAGGCTTTGGGGCAGGGGATTGGATGAGGAGCTCCATCATACCTATACAGCTTCGAGACCAACTGCCTGCAGCACTCAACCCTGAACCTGCCCTCAACCCACGTCGCTGTGTCCCAAACTCCCAAACAGTAAACCCCAAACAGTAAACCCTAAACCATAAACCCTAAACCCTAAACCCTAAACCCTAAACCCTAAAGTCAACAACCCATGCGCTGCTCCTGCATGTCGATGGTTCCCGAACCATCCCGGTCCACGTGCGCGAAGGCCCTTGAGGAGGAGTCCTTCAGCGGGTTTAGGGTTTAGGGTTTAGGGTTTAGGGTTTAGGGTTTAGGGTTTAGGGTTTAGGGTTTAGGGTTTAGGGTTTAGGGAACAATCAGAAGCCCCCAAACCCAGCTTCGCTTTGATTTTAACAGAACCGCATATTACACCAATAGTCCGAAGTTACTGAACCCTAAACCCTACAATGGCCCTATACGGCCCTGTTTGGGGTTGACCAATAAGGGCCTCTCAGCTTTGGGTCACCGGGTGGGGCTTGGGTGTAAGGGAGGGAAAGCCCCACTGTGCTGGACATCTACCTAATCCCTAGATCAAGCCCTTACGAGCACCATGTAGCCCGAAAGCCTACATACAACCCAAAACCGATGAATGCAGCCTATAAACACAAAACCCTAAAACCCATAAACCCTGTAAACCCTAAAGCCTTTAAACGCTAACCCCCCTAAAGCCTAAAACCTGTGAGCCTAATAACCTGTAAACCACCCTAAACCCTAAACCCTAAACCCTAAGCCCTAAACCCTAAACCCTACACCCTAAACCCCAAACCCTAAACCCTAACCGTTTGTTAGCGGAGTCTTGGGAGGTCGACTCCTGGCTCCCCAAGAAGCGGTGGTGGGCCAACTCCCTGGAACTTGGCCTGGCGCGCAAGGGTTTAGGGTTTAGGGTGTAGGGTTTAGGGTTTAGGGTTTAGGGTTCAGGGTTCAGGGTTCAGGGTTTGAGTTTAGGGTTTAGGGTTTAGGGGCTTGGGTTTGGGGATTGGGGTTTAGGGATACTGGGATCATCTGGGTTCCAGAGTTCGGTGACCTAGGGCAGAAGCCTGTACCCTTCCGAGGGTTAAGGGAAGCTGCCCAGTGAAACAGGGAAGCAAGAATCCATGTAAGATTCAAAGACACGCTGAAGAATCAGAGTTTAAGGTTTCGGCATCAAGGAAGAGAATCTAATCAAAAGATCGGTTGACAACACGAAGTTTCGGAATTCGGAGTTTCCGGTTAAGGGTTCAGCCTTAGGGATGAGGGTTTGGGATATGGGGCTCAGGACATTGTTGGACGCAAAACCGGCGAGAATTCTGGGGCTTGCCGAGTTGAGTCTGTTGGTTGGTTGGTTAGTTGAAGGCTCGGCTCAGGGTTTGGCGCCTCTGGGTTCTAGGGCCTGGAATGTAGCAGCAAGGACTGCTAAAAAGGTATTGGAGGCTCAGAGCCATGACTTAAAGTGCATGCCGGCACCGAGAAAACACTTGTTCCTCAAGTCCTGCCCCCGCAAATGGTCCTAGACCCTAAACCCTAAACCCTAAACCTAAAGCCTAAACCCTAAACCCTCTTAAGTAGTTATGGCTTCAAAGGCCCCCAAACATTTCTACCTGAAACCCTGCCCCGAAGCGTCACAAGTGGCACACAATGCCTCAAGTATTCCCCTAGAATCAGGAGTAGCCCAGAAAGAACTGAAAAAAAGGAAATAAGGGCCTCTCCCGCCGGGTCCTAGTCCCTGAACATATTCGACATGCGAGTTGCCAGCGCGCGACCCGCCGAGCACACCCTAGACCCTAAAACTTGAAAAAGGGAAACTTTAAGAATTAGACTCACCATGACTCCCCATGTTTCGTGGTGGGCTTCGGCTTCCCCCCTCTCTGATGATGGGATTTTAGGGTGGGGGGGGTGGGGGGGGTGGGGGGGCGGGGTGGGGGGGGTGGGGGGGTGGGGGGGGTTGGGGGGGTGGGGGGGGCTCAAGAGGGCTCCCAAGTATACTAAGGCAAAGCCTGACGCGATGGACACCAAATACGCCACAACCGCCATGCTCAACATGACAACCCGGTTCCAGTTGCTACTGACAGCTAATGCACAACAAGAGGCACCTGACCTCGAAATTACTTGAGAAACCTCAGAAAAGACTTGCTGGCATCACTGACACACATCCGAACGCCAACTGAATGTGTGGATGAAACCAAAACTCTGACTTCAACCCGTGGGGATCAAGAAACAGAGTTGTCATGATCTCATCTGATCAAAATGGGGCGTCTGTCCGAAATCCTGGTATGCAGCAGCCATGTCCACGAAGATGCTCAGGGATTCAGCATGTGTTGTTGTTTTTGACGTGCGCCCGCTCCCAGGCCCCCCCTTTAAAAATTCGAAAAGTGTTTTTTGTTATTATTAGGGGGTATTCTTATCGAAATGTCATAATTCAGTCGACTTCAGGGTTACCCTAAACCCTGAACCCTTAACCCTAAGCCCTAAACCCTTAACCCTAGACCCCCAACCCTAATTAAACCACCTCAGGGTTTTATTCGTGTTGAGGGGTTGATTGGAGGCCTGAACCACCCCCCTAATTCGGAATAGGGTTTAGAAGGCGGGCTCGGTTTCGGCAGGACTTTCCGGAAAGTGTTTTTATTATTCGGGGTACGTTTAATAAAAGGGGGAAGGGATTAGGAATAACAAAAGGGGTGCCCTTTTTGTAAGGGAACCTAAACCCCAGAACAAGGGCACAAGGGCCTACTCTGGGGTCCTAGTGAATGAGGGGTGAACTTTGGATTAGGGTTTAGGGCTTGGGGTGAAGTGGAGTGGTGGGTGGCAAGCTGCCACCCGGTGAGGGTCTGCGTTCACTTTTATCTTAGGGTTCGGGTTGCCTTGGAGGGTCGGAGGCCTTAGTAAGTAGTGATCCAATAGAGTTATAAGTAGGATGACTCCACTTAAATTAGGGTCCCTTTTCGGGTACGTATAAATTACTATCTACTTACTAAGTCCCCCCGTAGGGTTAGGGTTTAGAGTTTAGGGTTTAGGGGTTTAGGGTTTAGGGTTTAGGGCGACTGTCTTCGCCAAGCAACCTGCGTGTGTGGACGGGGATGAGACACTGCTGGACAAAGTCAAACGCCTGTGAGTGTGAGCTGTGAGGCTTTGTCAAGGAAGGCCTAAACCCTGAACCCTGAACCCCATAAACCCTAAACCCAAATTTAAAATCAAACTCCAAAGCAGAAAGGGGGAATCAAACAGACGTGGAATCAAATAATGTAGGCTCCTGTGCGAAGCTGGCAGTCTGGAAGTCGCAGATCGGATCATGAGCCCCAGGGGTAGGTTCGCGATTCAGGGCTCGCAAGGTTGACACTCTCGGGCCCTAAAAACCCTAAACACTAAACCCTAAACCCGACACCCTAAGCCCCTAAACCCTAAACGCCTAAACCCTAAACCCCTAAACCCTAAACCCCTAAACCCTAAGTCCTTACCACTCTTTATCTTCAGCCTCCTTTAGGCAAGTCACCTCACCACTGTGGGCGCCCTTCCTTTGCAGATCAGGGAGAGCCTGTCGAGCGAAATGAAGCGGGCGGAGGCTTTGTTAGGGTTTAGGGTTTAGGGTTTGTCTTTACTGTAAGGAACTTGGAAGACTTGGAACCCTAGCAAAAAATCCAATATTGGCTGTTTCTTGGGACTTGTAGTCCCCAATATCCCTAAGCTTAGATTTAGGGGCTTTATCCAAAAACTCTCAACCCTAAACCCCTTACCGATTTAGGGTCTTGAGTTTCCATCGGCAAGGCAGCGCAGTTCTTGTTCTGGCGTGGCAAATGCCCGGATGGGTGCATGGGATGGTCGCGAGGTGGTCAAGTAACAAATGGCCCCTTGACAACCTGTCGACTGTGCTTGCAGGGGCTTTAGGGTTTAGGGCTTAGGGCTTAGGGTTTAGGGTTTAGGGTTCAGGGTTTAGGGTTTAGGGTTTAGGGTTTAGGGTGTTTTGGTCGCCCAGTAGCCATATAAAAACAACGGCACCCCTTTTGGGTTGGTTACTTTATAAGGGATCCCAAAACCAAAAAAAAGGGTAAAGGGCGCCACTGGACTACCAAGCTTTAGGGTTTAGGGTTTAGGGATCACTTCTAGAGTGATTCCAGCTGCGAGCAGAGTCTTCAGAACATCGTGCAACCGACTGATGAGGAGCTCCTGCCACTCTTTCTTTAAAAATCGCTTCACTGCTTGATGACTTGGTAGCCCAAGTAGCCAGATTAAAATAAGGGTACCCTTTGGGGGGGTGGTTACTTTACAAGGGAACCTAGAACCAACAAAAGGGGCAAAGGGATACCACTGGGCTATCAAGATGAATATCTAGACAGGAAGCCAAAGTGATTGCCCCCTGAGCGTGTTCGATCCTCATCCGGAAGAACGCTTAAAATCGCAAAGCACACACAACGTCAAGAGCCCAACCCCATCTAAACCCCTCTATACCGCCTAAACCCTAAACCCGTGGAACTACGCCGCCTGCCTCTGAGTGCTCCACAAATGCAACCAACCTTACAGCTGGTGGTGGAGAGCTATGGGGAGGGACGAGGGGAGTAGAGGGAGTAGAGTTTCAGGGTTTAGGGTTTAGGGTTTAGGGTTTAGGGTTTAGGGTTTAGGGTTTAGGGTTTAGGGTTTAGGGTTTAGGGTTTAGGGTTTAGGGTTTAGAGTATTCAGGGGCCCTGTCCGCAAGCTGCGACTGCGGGATGAAGAACACGATTGGCCCCCTCGGAGTCTCTTAAGTGGCTCTGCTCCGTTTAAGATCCAGGATACCTGAAAGGCCCGATATTCAGGGTCTAGGATTTAGGATTTAGGGTTTCTTAAACTTCAAAAAGCCATTTCTTTACGGTTAAAAAACCCGAAATGATCTAAGCCCAACTGCCATATCCAGCACCCAGACTCCGAACTCACATCAAGGCGCAGCAAACAATCGGCTTCGGGTGCCGGATGTTCGCTCATTTGCTTCATATTATGTAAATAACCTTGGGGACGAACCGAGCGCTAGAAGGGTTTCTGGTTCGTATACCGTAGTAGGGGACTATAAGTAGCACTGACCCAGATTTAGGGGGTTCATGTGGTCCCAAAGAGAAGGGCAGGGCTTGCTGTTGCCTCCTTCTTCAGCCGTGAAGCTCTTCGAGGCTGTAGGGCAACTCCCCGACAAGGATCACGTGCATAATGACACCTGGGCAGCAGTCCCCTTCATAAGGAACAAAGGGGGTCGAAAGGGAGGGGGGGGTGTCAGGGCCCCCATGTTTTTCCAATAAGGGCTTAACGATCAGTATTCCCCAAATCCCATATTTGCCTTAGTAAGCCCAAAGAAGAAGATGGCCCCCTTACACCCCACTCCCTGCCCCCACCCCCCCCCCCCCCCTTGGTTGCTTATGACTGGCGCTCCCCTCTCACTCTGCCTCGGTCTGACCGATTTCTGCAGCTCTGTCTAGCCTAAATTGGGTCAGAAGTTTTTATCACTTCAGTTTGTATGGATAAGGGGCATGGATGCTTCTGGTTCTTTTAGGTCCACATATCGCAGAAATACCGCTGTCAGGGTTTAGTTAGGCGCCCTAAACCCTAAACCCTAAACCCTAAACCCTAAACCCTATGGTTAGGCTTTACCGCGTCACTGCACGCCGGCCCTCTCGACACAAAGTCACCAGGAGCTACACCGTCTTACAAAGCCAGAGACGGTCCAAACGTTGACAAGCGGCCCACTCTGCACCAACACAGGTATAGGGTAGGTCAAAGGGTTTATGGTTTAGGGTCTAGGGTTTAGGGTTGCGCCTTTTTTAGATCTCTTGATTAGATTTCTTGGACTGCGGATCAGACCCTCTTGGTTAGATTTCTTGGACTGTGGCAAGCTGATTTGGATTTAAACGTGTGGCACGCTGTAGTGCGAGAGCTGGAGACACCAGGCCACGCCATGTCACCATGTGTCACCCGAACCGTGCTGGTTCATAGTTCGGGAACAGAACCGGCTCATCCCCAACACTAAAAGGTTTAGGGTTTAGGGTTCAAGGTTTAGGGTTTAGGGTTTGGGGGGTTTGGGGTTCAAACAATACAAATCCCCGCTGTCTGCGGCTCCAAGCACCTAGTGACCAAAGGTCGCACCGGAAGTCGTATGACTTCCCGCCCACGTGAAAGACGTGGGAGTTCAAAACGGCCATGACCTGACAACTTCTAAACAGGCGATTGACCGACTCACGTGCGTAGGGTAAGTTTTTGGTTGGGCAGGGTGTGTGGGAGATGGGTCCCGTACATCCTCAGACCCAAACCCCTGAAACTCGTGCCATAACACAGCAGCCTGTGGGCAAGAGTCCGTGGAGCCGACGACAAAGACGACCGCTTAAGCAGCGTAAGAATCGCTGCGCGATGCTCATGCTTGAAAGCTCGAGATCTTTAGGGTTCGTCCCCCCCCCCACCCCAAGTCACCTTGGCCAAGCTTCGAAGGCTATCACTGAAACTCTCGGAAAGAAGGCCATGCCGGAAAATTGTAGGGCGTGGGTACGCTAGACTGGTTGTGGGAAAGGGGGTTTGGCCAAAGCCAATCCAAACCCCTAACACTCTGAACCCCAAGCCTCGTCCCAAATCACTCAAATCACCCAAAGCCCGAAAACCATAATCCACGATTTGCTTGTAAGATCCCCCCAAACATTTAAAATAAAAACTATCTTCGTTCTAAAGGCACCAGAGGGATACTTTGCTAGTTGTTTATGGTTAAGGGTTTAGGGTTGCGAATAGCATTAGTAGCCCTAAACCCTAAACCCTAAACCCTAAACCCTAAACCCTAAACCCTAAACCCTAAACCCTAAACAATCGGGCCTCGGGAGCCATGTACTCCGCAGTGCCAACCTCCAGTCGAAGAGGCTCAAGGAGGCCCCCAGGTGCGGGTTTTAGGGTTTTAGGGTTTAGGGTTTAGGGTTTAGGGCTCATAGGTTATGGTGTATAGGGTTCAGGTTGAGGGTTCACCGGGTCTTGGGCATAGGCATAGGGTTGAAGGCTTTTTGGGGTCTCATAGGATATCGTCGTATAGGGTTCAGGGTGTAGGGCTCACAGGGTTTAGGGCGTAGGCCTTGGGATGTTTAGGGGTCTAAGGTCTGGTAAAAGTCCGAAAACCCAGTAGGCTTTCGAAACTTGGGTTTTAGCATTTCTTGCATGAGGTAGGTAGGTGGAGAGTTCGGTCTTGCTTTTTTCTGAACTGAAACCCTAAACCCGAAACAAACTAGGATTCAGGTTCTGTGTCGTTGAAGGTATGGGGGTTCTCGGGCTGGTTTCTTAAGACCGCAAACTCTAGACAACGGGTAGTTCCTCAGGGTCCCTGTTTGGGTCCCCGTTATAAGGCGGCACCCATTTAAAAAGCATCCCAAAAAGGGACCCGAATTTAGAGAACTACCCCAAATGGAAATTTGGGCTGTGTAAAGTCTTGAGAGGCTACAAGAAGAGTGCTGGGCAGAGAGCTCCAACCCCCAATCCTCACAACGTGGCTTTGGAGGTGGGAGAGAATGATTTGCGGCAAGGGTTTAGGGTTTAGGGTTGACAGGGTTTATAGGGTTTGTAGGGGTTATAGGGTTGTAGTATAGGGTTTATAGGGTTTAGGTTTATAGGGCTTAGGGTTTAGGGCTTAGGGCAGGACTCTGCTTGACTCGTGAGTCCCTTACGGTTCCTCAGGGGTTTTAAATTTAGTGCTTTCAGGGCTCTTTAGGGGAATTTGGGGTTTGTAAAGTTCAGGGCAGTGTTCTTTTTGGAGTTTATCATGCAGGGCTCAGGCCTGTTTAGGGTCGATAGGTTTATGGATTCCTGGCCATGGAGCGAAGGAATGGAGCGGCGGGGCGTCGTGGAAAGACGTGTCCGAGGCGCGCGACTTCACGTGGGAGATCTGGTCGCACAAGTTGCGCTTGTGGGCCTGAGAAGCTGGTCTCCGAGATGCTGCGAGGGAAAGTGGACCTTAAGAAACCTGAACCCTAAACTCTAGCATCCTGAACAACCACAAAAACCAAGTAGCGTTTTAACACCACCTTTCAACCGCTCGACTGCAAAAGGTGTAACCGCTCCAAGGACCCTAAACACCAGACCCTACACGCTTAAACTTAAAGCCTCTAGATCCTAAAACCCTGAATCCTAGAGACCCCCAACCGTGATCCCAAAGCCAAAAGACCCTCAACCCTCAACCCTCAACTCCGCACCCTGAACCCTAGAATTAGACCAGCAACCATATTATTGTCCGGGCACCCTTTTCTGTGTGGGCTACTGTTAAAAAGGAACCAAGAACCAGAAAGGCGCAACAAGAAAAGGCACCCACTGGACTACCGAGCCTATAGACCCTGAAACTCCAAACCCTATCTAGAAGCTCGTTTTGGCTTAGTAAGTCTACGTAGTATTCCCTAGAAGCCCGAAAAATTCCCCATAGACCCACCTTACGAACCCTACTTACTAAGTCAAAGAGGCTTCCAAGTAGACCCTACACACCGTAAAACCTGAATCCCAGCCCTGAGCAGGTCGGTGATCCGAGGAGAGATGGATGTCTGCCAAGGCTTCTAAGGCTGAGGAAAGTGGGATTTTAGGGTTTAGGGTTTAGGGTTTAGGGTTTAGGGTACGTTCGGGATTTTGGGGCGTTGGCAACAACAGCTGCTTTAGAGCCTGGGCTTTCTGTGTTTAGGATGTGGGGTACAGGATTTGGCTTGCTTTAGTTCCAAAGGGGTCCCCCTAAACCCTAACCCCTGAGCCCTCATAGCCCTTTTAAGCCTAACCCCTAAACCCTAAACCCTACAAAGCACCTTTCGCTAGCCAAATGGGCCTTAATCTGCCGGGCCAGGCCGAAATCGGCCAATCGCATGGGGGGGTCGCGCAGTTCCCCGAGCTTCCTGGGGTTTGGTCTGGGGGGTTTTGGGGGAGCTTGGGTTTTTAGGGTTTAGGGTTTGGGTTTTGGAGTTTGGGGTTTTTGGGCTTGGGGTTTGGAAAACAAACTGTACACAAACACGAGCACATCCGCTAGCTAGGTCCCAGAGCAACTGAGAAATTGACGAGAATAGCCGGAAACCCGTTTGACTTACTGGGCTTCTTTGGGTGGACCTATGAGGGCCCAATCCCCAGAAGCAATGTGACATTTCGTGCAGAGAATCTTCGGATCCCCTAAACCCTAAACCGTAAACCCGAGACCCCAAACCCTAAACCCTAAACTCTAAGACCCTAAACCTACTGCTGTTCTGAAGTTGCATTGAGAGACTGAGGGTTTATCGGCCACAAAGGCCGCAAGCCTGAATGTTTGCTACTATTTGCTTTAGAAACCCCCAGGAAATCAAGATATTCTTCTTTTTTATGGGTAGTATAGGGAGAGGGATTGTTTTTGGTTGGGGGGGGGGGGGCCTTAAGCAAATAGGATTTTACGGTATTTAAGGTTCTAGTATCTGGGGTTCAGAGCCCAGGGCTTCGGGCTTAACAGCCCGCTCTAAGCCTTTTAAGCCCCTTAAACCCTAAACCCCAAACCCCTGACCCTAATCCCGAAACCCTAAACCCTAAACCCTAAATCCTAAACCCTCATAAGCCCGGCCACCGCACCAGCAGCACATTCTCCGGCTTCAGGTCGCGGTGGCACACTCCCTTGGAGTGGCCTGAGGGCAGGGTTTAGGGTTTAGGGCTTAGGGCTTAGGGCTTAGGGCTCAGGGTTCAGGGTTTAGGGTTTAGGGTTTAGGGCTTGGGGTTTGGGGTTTGGGGTTTGGGGTTTAGGGCTTAGGGTGCAGGGTAAGGGATATAAGCCTTAGCCCCAACCCTGAATCCAGAAGCCCTAAACCCTGGCCCTATATAAACCTTAAACCCTGAACCCTGAACCCGAAACCCTAAATCCTGAACCCGTAAGGTTTAGGGTTTCAAACCCTAAACCCTAAACCCTAAACCCTAAACCCTAAACCCTGAACCCGTAAACCCTGACCCCAGAGGCCCATCCGAAAGCGAGCGGCAGTAAACCAAAGCTCGCAGAATCTGATTTGCAGCGTGGCGAGTGAAGGATGTATCGCCCCGGACCTGCAGCAGCGCAACAGGTACGGCTTAGGGCTTCTATGGTTTAGGGTTAGGGTTTAGGGTTCAGGGTGTAGGGTATAGGGTCTAGGATTCAGGGTTTAGTGTTTAGGGTATCGGGTTTGGGTTCGGGTTTTCGGCTTAGGGTCTTACTTAGATCACGCCTGCAAAGCGGGAATATGACCCAAAACTAGTTAAGGCGCGTCGTTGGCTCTTACTTGGAAGCCCTTTAGACTTAGTAAGTAGGTTTAATAAGGCATAAGGTGGGTTATGGAGATTATAAAGAGGGCTTCTAGGGGATACTAAGGTCGTTGTGCGACGAGAGGTGAGCAGCCAAAAGACCCAGCATTCCACGAAGCGGTCACTGCTGCCACTCTTCTTGGGATTCTGGCTGTAGTTGTAGCCGGCCAGGAACATCGGGTCGAGCAAGCTCAAACAGGCGGTCAACTGCCAGTTACCCTAAACCCTAAACCCTAAACCCTTTGTCACTAACAGTGCCGTGCCATCATCCTCCACCTTCTCGCCCTTCTTCTCGGCTGCCGCCCACCGAACCCTGTACTTAATCAAAATACCGAACCCCTCTGAAACTCATAGGACAATGATATCCAAGTTTGTAGGGTTTGTATTAAAATATGGGTGGGTGGTCTCTTAAGGCCTTTAGATGGTTTGTAGGGTGTGTAGAGTGTGTAGGGTTTGAGGTTAGGATTTCAGGCTTGGATGGGCATAGACGCGTTCTGGGTCCGGGGCTTTTGGGTTAGACCGTCTAAGCCGGGAACGAAAAAAAAACACTCCACCCTAAACCCTAAACCCTAAACCCTAAACCCTAAACCCTAAACCCCAACACATTCATCATGTTTCTTGAGCTAGAAATCCACGGTAGATTTGAAAGACTCAACCCTGCGGAGCCCGAAGCCCCGCGATCTTTGATTTAAGGCCGGCGCCTGCGTGAGGCAGCTGTGAAGGTCGCCGCCAGTACAGAGCTCCGTGACGATGTAGACATCCTGATGACCGAAACCATGCACCCGAGCTTGCTTTACCGGTCGCATCATATTGGAAGCAAACTTACAAAGAAGTACAATGTATCATGAAGATATAGAGGCCCCTTAGACCTCAAGCATACCTGAATGCCAGAACTATGATAGCTTTGCAACGGACTTCATAGATACACAGCGGGCCACAGAATAAATTTCAACCCCTGAACCCGAAAGCCCGGGAACCCTGAATCATCCTCGCCTTTCCTGTTACCCTAAACCCCAAACCCTAAACCCTAAACCCTAAACCCCTCTCTCTCTTGCTCTCTTTCCCTCGCTCCAAGTTCGCATGGACCTGGAAACCCAGAGCAAGCTTCCCCAAAGGGCCGAATACCC